CAGTGCAGCCGGGTTTTTCTTCTCCTTTGGCCCCATCAAAGTTTGCGGGTGAAATCAAAGGTGCCGCGTAGCACACAATTCGCATGATGAACATTAATGATGTGCTCACGACTTGGGACAGGCATCGAGGGAGCTGCATGGCCGACCCTCCTCGTACGTGACCGACTTACCCCAAGATACCGGCCAATTGTCACCCCTCCTCACAACGCACTCTCTGCGCGCGTGCAGAAACATAGCTAGTTTATTGTCTTTTGAAATGGCCTGTCAAAAGAAGAAGAAGAAGAAGAAGAAGAAGAAAAGTAGCAAGGCCCTATTCTGAGTCGATATTCCGGGCCACCCCGAACAGCGTCCATGTCTTTTTCGTACGTTGATTGTTTATCTCTTCAATGTTCTTTCTCCTCGCTTCTTGGGAAACGCCCAGGAAGCTTCGGACCTTTTATCTGATAAGCAGCACTGGCAGACAGCGAAGGCAGCCCCACTCCTCACGCTTGGCTCGTGCCGATGCGGATGGCATCTCTGGAAGGCCAGTCTCTGCGTATAACTCCCTTCATCGCTCACTGGCCTCTCGCTAAGATGACTGAGGAGCGCCTGTGTGGATGCTTTCTTTTTCCTTTTCCTCTTTTCCAGCGATACATACTCGGCCACTACCCGGATGGGCTGCACTGCATGGTGTCCCCAGGTCTTATCGTGATAACGCATCTCGGTGGGGCAAAGAATGCAACCAACCACTCTAATAATTGGGGTTGGAACTAATCTTTGCCAACTGTGGAAGCTCGAAAGCTAGTGCTTGTTACACTTCGCTATCCTCCTGGTCGGGGCAAGCAGGATCCGTTATCTGTTTATTTTCCTCTTCTACGCGGGCGATCAACACCTGGCTGGGCCAAGAATATCCTCTCCTCGCATTATCGTTCACTGATCATGAAAAGTCCCAACTATACAGGAGCAGCCGATAACGAAAGACGTAGTATGAGAGCGGGGATGACGCAGGACGTCTCTTTCGTCCGGAGCTAAGTTGTCCTGACACCCCTGGAGGAAGGGAGAATAGGCAGAAACGAGGCGGTCGCACCGCGCCACTTCAAATTCACCCTCTCCCCCAGATTGATTGATTTCGTCAAAACAGAGAGGGGGATGGAAGTACCAGCTGTATCTCTAGAATGCCACAAGGAGTCAAAAGGATTACAAGTAGTACGGGGGAAACTTTTGGGACGACACTGGGTACAAGCCTGCCGTTAGAAGGCACTCAAAGTCCAGACTTCGATGTTGTCTGAGCTTCGGTAACTTTGAATCAAGATCCACGTACTGATAAAGATACGTCACTCGGGCCGGGCTTGTTCCTTGTTGAAGCTTGCAAGCTTGGTCCCTGCCTCTCTTGTTTGCATCAGATACCACCACCACCACCGTTAATGCCGCCACAATGGACTCTCCGACAGGATAGTCATGATAATATTGCATCGCCCGCAACTTGGCTTCCGGATTGGAAACCTTGGCACCCTGGCTTTGCAACGTAAATCCCACCCTGCAAACGAAGACGACTCGGAAGAGCCCCTTGGTTCAATCATCCAAGGTGTGAAGGACTTTGAGATCCTAGATATTGGCCGTATCAAAGACTGGCCCACTCATTCATCATGAAAATTGCTCCATGCTCCAGGAGTGCAGGCTTTCCTAGAACTCAACCTGATCGAGGTCAGGCCATCAAGTTCCTTCTCGGCTCGATTTTGCACCTAAAGGCATCGAAGTAGCCCTTGCCTGTCTTATCAGAAAGCTAAGAGTAGGGATGGGAGGCTGGCTTCTAAAAATCGGCACTATGAACTGCAGAGGAGCGAATTCGTCAGGGTTGTTCCTGAATAACTAGTCCGGCAAGATCCTTCCAGCTGAAGCGTGCAACGGGCATTCAGGCGTGCATGAAAACAAGACATGGTGCAATGCGCGATGAGCAGCCTAGTGTAGACTCGGGTTCATAATCTACTTTGTGGTGGTGGCCAGAGGAATTGAGAGAAGACGGGTCGCTGAATGCTAAGTGGTAAGTATTTTCCTTTTCTCACTCTTCGATCGAAATCAGGTACGAAGTACTTCAACCGGGGCTTAGTGTAAAGTCTGCAGGAGATCGCAACTGAGATGCAAACGAAACAGATCATTCCCTTTTTCTTTTTCTTCCCTTTTCTTTCTTTTTCAACTTACTTGTTTTTTGGGTCCCCTTCCCTTTATTGATTGTCTACTTTCGCCTCGTCTTCAGGATTAAACACACTGAGACCGGCAAGTACCATAAAACACTTCAGTCTTGATATACCTCCGTCTTGTGTATGGCGGGCAAGGGACCAGCAACGTCCTGCCGATCGATTCCTACCGAATTTGACCTAGTGGCTCAACTGCGTTGCTGGATCGTCAATGTATAAATGAAAGAATGAGAAGAATGGGTTGTGGTGTAAACCCTTGACCGAACACAGGACCCGGCCGGCGCGCTCACCGAGCCGCTTGATCAAGCCTGGACCACACACACACCGGCAAGAGAGGCGATCAGATGGCAAGCGAGGCCAGAGTGGGTAAGTGGTTAGCCAACCAAGTGCGAGAACGTGCTTCTATCTGGAGAGTGGTACCCAACCGTTTTATCTTTGACACCCGGGTTGGGATGCGGCCGTCTGCTTCGGCTTTTTTTTTTTTGAAGCGGTACACACGGATGGCGGAGAAAGAAAAAAAAAGAAAGGAACTTGAAAGAAAAGAGACAGTCGCCCTCCTAGTGGGATTTAGATCATCATCGAAATGGGAATCTACATCTCCATCTTAAGACTATATGAACTCTACCTCGGTATGTGAGGTGGATCAAGGGCTTGAGTTGGAGCGAAGGCTGGTGGTACCTTATGCCCCCACGGGCATGCCCAGATCTGAGAGAGGGGAGAGGCCGACTGCACACGGTCGTTTGTTCAACTGTAGAAGGTGTCGATGGAAAAAGAAAAGAGGATGAATCGTTTCAAGGCAAATCGCCATCCGGAAAGAAGCAACTTGGACAGGCCGACCTCAGTACGCACGAGTGAGCTAGGACGCATTTGGGTCCGATAATGAAGACGATGCCTCTTTACCCACGTATTATAGCTCACCCATTACCTCATCCCTCCCGCACCGGATGAAGTTCCGTCTGCTTGTCTGCAGGGGCACTGACGATGGGCTCGAACTGTTGGATGGGGGAAAGCCATTCCTCGGTGCATCGAAACTACGCAGGACATAAAACTGAGGGTCACATGAACTCGAGTAGCAGGGCGCCCCAGTCTCCAACCATGCTTGATTGATTCCCCACCTCGTCCACGGCTTCTCAAAAGGGCGCGAATAAAGTCCTAGAGTGGCAAACCTCTTTTTACATGAGCCACAGTTGTGCGAGAGGGCGCTTCCCATCACCCTCATCACCCCCGAAAATCAGTCTTCGCCGAAGTTGTGTCTGCTCCGCCCACCTCGATTCACGTCGTGTATCTAGGCTGAGAAGGAGGCTGGGTTAGAGACCATTTTCTATCAATCACTTCCACTTCCCGATTCAGATTGGCGGGCGGCGAGCTGCTGCACTCAATGGTGCCTCTGGGGTGCGGCGTCCCCCTCCCGCAAGCCCCCTAGGACTGATCAGTTGTGCCTTTACCCTGAAGGTACATCCATTTTAGCGGAGCCTGGTCAAGTTTCCGAGTGTGGCCTTCTTCAAAAGACGGGGCCTCAATGTTATGATTGCGCTCCAGACAAAACCGTTTGCCTCAAGTACGCTAGAGTACAGTGCATTGTCGCATCCCCACATCATAGCCTGAGCTCGAGCTATCCAATGGTTCGGAGAAGGCCTGTGGGACCCAGATTGATCAAAACAGTCTTTGCAGCCAGTGCTCTGTCTTTCTGGGTCACGCCCCCTTCCCCTGTTCTGCCACTGTCCCTCTCTCCCTCTCAACAATTCTTCCAGCCCTTTGCTTTCAATGTTCCGAGCTGGTTTTCAAGGTACTGTCCTGATCTCTGGGACAGACCGTCCTTTGATTCGCACTGCGGTGTTTCTTCCGTCTCCTTTGTTCTTTACCTCATCATGTGTTCTACCGCAATTGTATTCTCTTCCGGGTGCGAAACCGGGCCCTTAGCTCGTAGTCAGTAGAAGGCTCCAGATGGAGCCTAGAAAATGTAAGCGGTGAAGCCGCCACCCGCGTAAATTGGAGACTTGGGTCGATGGGACGGGCGCTGGAACTGTACCCCGACCCTATTTTCTGCCTGGCAGGTGACTAGGAAGGAGAAGGGTACTTCTTTCCCGCCTTCAACCCCCATGTACTTCGTACCCACGTTTGGCTGGCCAGGCCCTCCACCGCCAACACGATGTACTCTGGACCCACTCCGCCGTCTTCCAGACTTTCCTCCCACCCTGCACCTGCGCTCGTGAGCTCTGGGCTCCAAAATACGTCAAGTCTGTATTAGTCACATCCAGTCACTCGCCCTCTCTTCCCATCATCCCCCCAGCTCCTCGCGACTTTTGAATGATTTAGCACTTCCCCTTCCAATATCGCTCGCAACGCAACACACGATCCAAGGCCGGGAACGCCCTCTCGCCCTCTAACCAACATACGAAAATATCATTTTACTCCCTGTGTTACACACACACAGACCGCGTTCAACCTCCTTCCCGCATCCACGAGACCCTTGCTCGTCGGTTCCAGTTGCCAGGTCGTTTGCTCTTGGTTATCTTCGACCCTTCCGCTTCTTGCTGCCCCTACAACCATAACCCCAGTGACTCGAATAGCGTCTTTTTGTTCCTGACTTGCGCACTGATCCGTTACCACGTCGAGTTATCCACAACCTCCTGCCGACTCAAGCCCTCGTTTTGCCGTGCTCTCCCCAAACATCTGGGGCCTCTAGACGTCTACTCCCAGACCCGTCGTGTACATGACTCCCACCGCTGCCGACGTTTTTCGAATAGATTAGGCCTCCGGGCTGCTCCCTTTACCCTCCCACACCTTTGATCTTCGCGCTCACGAGTCCTCCGGTCTGCTCTCACCATGCCTGAACCTCGAAATGGCTCGTCGTCCGCTGGGCGCGACAAATATGCCCAGATCGGCAACTTTGTCGTTGGCTCGGAAATCGGCAAGGGCAGTTTTGCTCAGGTCTATATGGGATGGCACAAGGTAAATCTCGCTGCCAAGTTACCCACCCGTTCTTTGTCCCTGCCTCTTCTCCGCCGCTTTTCTTTAGGCTACAACTGTTCTTTGCTCGACGCCGCCCTCCCCTGCCCCGTACGTAGAGGACTGCTGATACTAATTCCCTTGGACCGTAGGTTTCGCGAGCAGCCGTAGCAATAAAGTCCGTTGAAATGGACAGGCTTAACAAGAAACTCAAGGAAAATCTCTACGGGGAAATTCAGATCCTCAAGACCCTCCGTCACCCACATATCGTAGCCCTCCACGACTGCGTCGAGTCGAAAACGCATATAAATCTAGTGATGGAATACTGCGAACTTGGTGATCTCTCTTTCTTCATCAAGAAACGGGACAAGCATGCCACTCATCCCGCCACGTACGACTTGGCGCGGAAGTACCCCTGCCCTCCCAACTCCGGCCTCAACGAGGTTGTGATTCGCCATTTCCTGAAGCAGCTAGCCAGCGCGCTCAAGTTCCTTCGAGAGATGAACTATGTCCATCGGGACGTAAAGCCCCAAAACCTACTCCTCCTACCATCTCCGGAATACCGAAAGATTCACCCCCGTGATATCCTAGAGGCGAGCCAGGACTCGTTAATACCCATCGCGGGACTTCTCTCCTTGCCCATGCTAAAACTGGCCGATTTCGGATTTGCGCGGGTCTTGCCTTCAACATCCCTCGCCGATACCCTGTGCGGCTCTCCTCTTTATATGGCACCCGAGATCCTACGATACGAACGATATGATGCCAAGGCCGACCTTTGGTCCGTGGGTACTGTTGCCTTCGAGATGGCGACTGGGAAACCCCTTTCCGTGCGAGGAATCACGTCGAGCTCCTTCGTAAAATTGAGGCGAACGACGATGTCATCAAATTCCCTAGAGAAACCATGATCAGCCCAGAAATGAAGGCTGTTATCCGGGGCCTCTTGAAGCGTAACCCCGTGGAGCGGATGAGCTTCGAAAAGTTTTTGCCGACGAAGTTATTACTAGCCCGATTCCCGGACTCGTCGAGGACGATATTCCAAAACCCCCACCCCAAGAGCCAAAAATGCAAGTTCCGCCATCTCCTGCCGAAAGACCCCGGCGGTCGTCGGATCTACCTAGGGAAGGAGGCAAGTATGGCTCTCCGAACGAACATGGCCCAAGATCGCCGCTAGCTGGAAGCCCTGGCGGGCGTACTACCCGGCCAAGCCCCGGCTCACGCGACCTGAGCGCCGGGCTGGGCATTCGCCAACACCCAACCCCCAGGCAGTCTCTCCTAATCCGCCGCGAAGGCTATCGGACGTGGCCTCCGCCCGACTTCGTGACAACCCTTCATCACCGCCTTCTTCCCTCTTGAACGAAAACAATCTTAAGAAACGCGGCCGCGTTCAAACCAGTCCCCTTCCGACAGAGGAGCAGGAGAAGGCGGCTCAGGAGATCGCATTTGAGCGTGATTACGTGGTTGTAGAAAAGCGGCAGGTTGAAGTGAACGCTTTCGCTGATGAAATGGCAGCGAACCCACGCTTGGCCAACCAGGGTAACGCCGGCACCTCGCCAAAGTCAGGCCAAATGGTTAGGCGTGGTACTCAAACAAGCTCGACGGGAGCCGGCGCGAACCAACAGTCCCGGGCGATACAAATCGCACAGGGCAAGGGTCACCACGTCCAACAGGGTTCGTACGATAAGGGCATCTCCGGGCCGGGCACGAGCCCAATATCGGCGAGCAGCGCGATTTCTAAGGCGATTCAGGATGCAAGCCTCCGGCTATTCGGGTTCAAAATGCCACCCGCCCGAGTCGGAAAGGGACAGTCGCCGCCCTTGTACAGCCCTTTTCCGGCGTACCCACTCCCCAGTAACCAGACTGGCTTACTTGAGGACGGCAAGCGCGGCGCATCCTCTGACGAGGATGCTCGCGTAGCCCAAACTATTGAGGACTATGCCAACCGCAGCGACTGCGTCTACGGGTTCGCAGAGGTTAAATTCAAACAGCTTTTCCCGCTAGCCCCATCCGTAGAGCACGGGCTCGGTGGTGCTTCTCCTGAGGAGATGGAAACTCAGGAGGACGGATTGACGGTGGATGCGGTCGTGACGTTATCCGAGGAAGCTCTAGTGTTGTACGTCAAAGGTTTGTCAATGCTTGCAAAGGCCATGGACATTGCCGGCCTCTGGTGGCAGCGCAAAACTCAGCGGGAGCCTAGCCCCAACACGCGCGAAACCCAGGGGTCTCAAATCCTTTCGGTGCGCATCAACTCGGCCGTACAATGGGTCCGAGCGCGGTTCAACGAGGTCCTAGAAAAGACAGAGGTGGTTCGGTTGAAGCTCGTGGACGCACAAAAGCAACTTCCAACCGATCACCCGAGCCACCCAAGAAACCATGGGGTGGATTCTAGTTTTGATGCCGGCGATAAGCAAGTCTACCTTACTCCAGGAATCAGCGCAGAGAAGCTGATGTACGACCGAGCCATCGATATGAGCCGGACAGCCGCCATCGACGAGATCGCAAATGAGCACTTGGCGGACTGTGAGGCGTACTACATCACAGCGATTCGCATGCTAGAAGCCGTACTCGACGTCGACGACGACTCCTACCGGTCTAGGTCAGGATCTACGGCGAGGGATACGAAGGGCGATAGTGGACTAGAAGTAGCTGGCGATCTCGACAGCGAGGATCGCAAGGTCGTCAAGAAGAGTAAGTTTGAGAACTAGACTTTCATGGTCACCGCGACGTTGTATGCTCGTTACTAACCGAAATTTCTTGGACTTCAGTGATTGCGCTGATTAGTGGTCGACTCACCATGGTGCGCAAGAAGAGAAATATGATTGCCGAGGCGGAGAAGGCACAGATCACAGCAGGGCGGCGGCGGAGTGGTGATATGACGCCGAAGAGCGTTCGTTCTCATGCATCATCATAAGGAAGCCGGCGCAAGGTCCTCTTTTTTTTTTTTTTTTTTTTTCCTCTTTTTCGTTCAGAGCTTTAACGACCTTGACGACTACTCACTCCCCTTCTTAAACACGACATTACGAAGTTACCGGCGACGCCCTATGGCCGACTCCTGCTTCCATCCGCCTAGGAAGCTTATCACTGAACGCGCTCACAAGCCATCTTCACTGTGGTCGTTCGCCTCACATTTTGCCGCATAACTCACTTCCTAGGGCTTGATTAGCATCTAGTTCTAGCCTAAAATTCTGCGGCTGTTCTGTTTTCATTTTGGATCGAGAAGACTCATCAAGGCTCGTTATACTCGGAGTTTGGGATGGAAATTCCTTGCGTAGGATCTCTCCTGCGCTTTCTACTGGTTGTTATGCTGCATACATGACACGGCGGTGGTTCTTACATATCTAGGCGTTGTCTCCCTTTTCTCTTTTCTCTCGTGCTTGCTCTTGCAGCTTGTTTTCTTGTTTTGTATTTCTTTTTTACTACCCTGCAAACTTTAGCCCGGCTCTCACCCGTCTGGTAACGGCTTTTTTCTCTTTTCCTTAGCTTAAGGCTAGCGAAAGGACCAGGTGCATGGCGGGTTCGCGATGGTCATTGATGGGGGCTTCCAAGTGCTATGCGGGCGCAACAGGACATGTTCACGCCGACATACTGCCTTCTCTTGTTCTTTGTACTCTCCACTTTGATTCTGATTGGGTTCTTGGCGGTATCGATTTTTTGTATGAGTTAGATTGACACGGATGGATGACGCTGGAGGCTTCGGAACGCTAGGGACTAGCTGCTCTTCTCATCTTTCTTTAGACCCGAGATGGGATAGCTTGAGGATTTCAGAGTAATCACCAATCTCAAGTAGAGCTTAGCCGATAACCCCTTAGCATTCGGCTTGAAGTCAAAGATAGCAGGGATGGAAAATAAATTGACATTTGCTATCAGGATAAGAGAGGCCCGCGATGCTTTTGTGCTAAACCGACGCTCCCATGGATCCATGTGGAGGGTTAGAGCGATAGCTAGCTATGCGGATGAACAAACGTAACCGGGTACTTTGCACGACGGCGACACCTTGGGACTAAACGTGAAGGCATATACACAGATACATTTACGGATGGAACTTGGTTAGGCATTCTTTTGGTATTTCCATGTACTGTAAGATGCAGCTTTTCATGGAGGGGCCCCAAGTCACAGGCGAAGGTGAGCCAGTAGGTCTGGCTGTCGTCTCAGAGTCTTCGGGGGTTAATGATACTTATATTCCCGTTTTTTTCTAGGCTTTTTTCGTCTTTCTAGTATATAAGTTGATACATGTACTCGATGAAATTGCCAACGGCAAACTTCATCGTGTCTTAACAGAAATCGCAAAAGCTAATGATATTGTTCAGCGCAGGCTCGCTTTCAAGTCAAAGCCTGGCCGAGTCTTGTGTAGTTCAGCGCGCAACGGCGCAAGGTCAAACAAACAACGTATCCCTGGATCCTTGTGATCCTACATCGTATTAGGTTTTTTTCTTCTCTCCTTCATCTTCTTGCTAGAAGTCATTCTCTCCATGTCATCTTCTCCTTCTTTTGGGGGCTAAAACATGGAGTGATATTGCGGTGCTCCCCTCCGGTAATAAACAGATTTAAAGCAATAACAGAAAAAGAACAGACGTGCTTTGGCAAGTCGTTGTCGAAGCTTAAAAGGACGTTTGATGGCTGTGATATACTCGCCAACAAAAGGGAAAGCCACCCGCCGTTTTGCCCATTCAAACAATGGGCCAGACTCGAAGTGTTATTTACTAACGGACGTTGGCAGCTTCGTTCGAACCACCAACGGAAAGTCGGGCAGCCGCTGCCGACTTCCGCGCCGACTTCGAACCACTTCCTTTTACTCCAATCCTCGCTGAGCCGCCGGGCTTGGTTCGGCCGCCGCTCGACACCCGTCGCATCTCGCTTAGGCCGACATGAAGGTGGGAGATGGACCCCTTCTGTGAAAGGGAGCACTCCATTTCCGGAGACGAACTTTCCTCCTCGTCCCGAGAAATACCAAACTTGGAAAGCAGGAGATGCAGGGGAGGCTCCTCCTGGGGGTGGTCGTTCTGGGCGGAACCCCAGAGCTGCTGATTCGTCGGACGTACGGGTTACTACCAGGAGGCAGCAAGGCTTTCAAACCTCTATGGCACTTGGGAAGGACATCGATAAGCTCGCCACCAAAAGTGGTGATGGGGGTGACCTTGGGGATGCCTTGCTCTTGTATGCGTTCCACCACGGACCACACGGCATCGTTGTTCTTGAGAAATGGATGCTCAGCAGCCTCGTGGATAGTCATCCTTTCGTTGGGGTCAATTCGGAGACATCGCTGGATGAAATCGCGGGCCAAGCTGGGCCGCGAGCCTTTCGAGGGTCAACAAGCCGCCCAATTCGTCGGTTGACCTCCTCTTGGTCAATGTTCCTCTCCTCGGGGAAAATGAACCCCAGCTGGGACCATTGGACAAGGTTAAGCTCGCAACCGTACATGTCAACGGCGACCATTCCCAGGGACCACATGTCGGCGCTTGTAGTCTGGGGCGATGAGCGGAACTGGACCTCGGGCGCTTGGTACCCGCGGGTGCCCACGCCCGACATGAGCCGCCGAGCCGCAAAGATGTCGGCGCACCCAAAGTCAGAGATGCACACGCGGTGGGTGCCGCGCGGAATCGAGGCTAGCAAGATATTGCATGGCTTCAAATCTCGGTGGACAAGGCCTCGATCGTGAATGTACCGGAGGCCTGAAACAACCTGGCGTAGGATACCCTGGCAATCGCTTCCGCGCATGGGCCTAGTCTTGAGCATGTACGAGGTTAAATCACCGCCAGAGGCTAGCTCTAGGAAGAGGAAGCTGAGAGGTGTATCAAGTTAGTGAGGGTTCGCAGGAAAGTAGCTAAAATGTATTACAATTGGGGAGGCGTACACAGAATAAGCGGATCGGTAGTGAGTGATGAGCTTGACGACATTATGCTGGAGGAGTTTATCGACTATTAGCCATCTAAAATGCCACGGCCGCTTGAAGGGGCATTTTGGAACCCGAAAAAAAGATAAGGAAGAAAGGGAAATTAAATAACGTACATGATTAAGTTGGCCAAGGACTTCGGCCTCGCGACGGCAACGGTTGATCCAATGAAGTCCGCGGGGGCCAGCACACTCCACCATTTTAACTAAGTTGACAATCTTGACGACGCATTGCTCCTTGGTCCTAAGGTTCAGGGCTAGACGGACTTCGCCTTGACCGCCGGAGCCCATAACAATATCGCATATCTCAAAGTCCTTTTGAAATTGCTACGAGACAATACATTAGGCTCACGGAACTAGCGAAGAAGGACCAGCTGGGACCCACGGGGAAATGGGAGAGGGAATGGAGGATTGGCTAACTTACTCTATACTCGGCTTGCTGGATGACATCAAGCTCCTCTACAATAGGACTAAGGTATCGGTGCTGGACAGTGACAGTGTACCCAGCGAATTGAACAACGGTATTGGGTTCAATGAGCCACCCACGACCTGCAGGGGCATACGGTGAGAGGGGGATACGCTCCCCTTTGCGAACGATGTACGTGGTGCCGCTTAGGCTCATATTGCGGACATAGACGTGGGAAGGCCGATCTGAGTTATACTGAACCTCCCAGAAATGGCATTGTCGTTCTTCGACCAACTCATCGTCTAGTCGGATATCACTGTCCACCCAGGTAAGTATAAGCATGATGACAACAACGCCACAAATGGGAGCGGGCTGCAAGGGGAAAAAAGAACTATACCATGATTCGGAACTCCCTATTTTCATCTCCCCTCTCAAGAAAAGTTTCTTCCGTTCTATTCGCAGGTTCGAGTTGTTAGCACAAGCGCATCGACTAGGATCAAAAGAACGCGGCGCGATGGGCGCGGCGCGCTGGGGAACTCACCAACAATGCTTTCAAGATCATTCGTAAGGCGAACGGTAATTGTCGCGACAGGGAAGTGAAGCTTAGAGCGGTTCGCCATCGTGACCCTTGTCCTATATTGTTCTGATTAAACCGTTTGCCCCGATATGGCTAGGAAGCCGCCCCGAGGATATAATGAGCTCGATCGAAGAAGAAGAAGTTTGAAGGTAGATACCAACTCCTAGGCAATAATTTGGTTGAATTGCCTTGGTATGTATTAAGACTAGGTGAAAGGTGAAGTCTGAAGTGTACCATGAAAGCATGAAGGCAAGTGGTGAGCTGGGATGAAAGGGAGAGGAGAGAAGAAAAGAAGAGAAGAGCAAAGGGTGGAGGGGTTTTGTAACTGTGGAAGGTCATACTGAGGGTGACTCTTCCAATCCATATCTTGAAAGGCAATCACTATGGAGGAATAGCGTATGCTATATAGGAGCTGTGATGCTTAGGAGGTTCACTCTCCCGCCGGTCCACGCCGGGACTCACCGGAATAGACCCACTTTTCCCGGCGTGCCTTCTGCTACACCGGGATGGCTTTGATTGGGCCCCACCCACACCTGAAAGGTCATGTGACTAAGGGCTTGCTCTCTCCTCAAGAATTTATTCCTTAAACTGCTGCAACAAATTTCCCCACCTCTAACCTGACACAAACATCATCACAACAATCTCTCATCACCAGAAGTAAGTTGATTCCCAAGGTGGCATCTGCCCCAATTCTATAGCCCATTCCACCTTATGGATGGTATTCCTTGCTTCGAAGAGCTCGGGAAACAATTGTTTTGTTGTTCATGAGACTCTCGGGGCAAGGAATACTAGCTTTACTTTGCCTGCTTCATCCAGCGAAGCTTCCTGGAGCTATCGGATGCTAACTATCTCTTCGCAGCCGAGTTCAAGATGAGAGCTAAGTGGAGAAAGAAGAGAGTTCGACGCCTCAAGCGCAAGAGAAGAAAGATGAGAGCCAGATCGTAAGTTGTTTCTAAAGCTACTTCGCTTTCCCTCGCTTCTACCTACCTGCTGGGTGGTGATGTTGGGCTCAATTGCTGACTCGAGTTTTTCTAGCAAATAAATGCATTCTGAAGCTTGCCAACCAAGCCCGCCTTGAAACCTAAGCGAATTAGAGGGGCAAACACCAAACTGGAGCTTTCGAAACGCCTCTTGTCGGCCACACCATGCCCTCACGCGACCTTGGGCCTCGCCATTCTCCCATGGATCTGAACTCTGTACACGGGAGCGGGATGCTGGTCGATCATCGAAGGAGGCGAGCTTCCTCGCACTTGAAACGACGGTTTAGGGGTGGAATGACAGTTTAGCTGGTTGGGTTTTTTTCAGAATGTCTTTATGGACAGGCAAAGAAGTCATCGCCCACACGAGTCGGGTGGTCTTGAAGCCTGCGATAGCCCGCTGCAAATATAAATTAATGGGTCTTTGATCTCGTACACATACTCCTTGACTTTCTTTCTCGCCGTGACTCGCCGCTCTAGTCTTGTTCTATTGATCCAGTCCATGTTGCTCCAACTGAGCTGCGCGGCCCCTCGTTGATGCCCAATACGGCACCTCGAGCCTTGTAGAGCTTCTAACAAGCTCTCCGAAGGCTCAATTTACCACAGCCGTACAGCACACTTTGCCTGGTTATTGCCCACCGTATTCCCTATTTTGTGGGCATATGTGAAAAACTTCGCTTCAGTCAAGGCCCCATTCCAAAGGGCAGGCGCGACTCCACTCCATTCGAATTTTCCACCCCGGTCAAACCGGGTCTGCTATTTTATCCCAAGCTCGCCCAAACATCGAAGCAAACACGCACTTGCGTTTCCTTTGTAATTTGACTTTCGCAAGGGCTCCCATTTATAAGTGGATATTGCGTCAGAAGGGAGAGTTTCCTGGCCCAATTGGGATAAGACGAGCCGTTTAGCTCCGAGCTTAGGAGGCTTGTCGCATTCACTGTGTTCCCGCCACCTCGATGTAATATTGATGATATCTTGATGAATCAATGCTGCCAACTGTTCCCCACGACTCTTTCCGGTGGGGAGTGTATGGACGGCGCTACGCATTAACTCGCTCCTTCCTTTGCAGAGAGTTCCGTTGACTGGGCAGAGCTACCTGAGAGCGGTCCTTCCCTCCAACAGCTCAAGTGCTATAGCCCGCGACGCGGCGCCACACTCGATTTCGCAGCATCATTGATGAGTAATAGCCTTCCCGTACCCTTGTGTTGGGGAAAGAGAAGCCTGCGTGTTTCTTTCTTCTGATCTACGCGTTTACTTGCCTTACATAACTAATAACTGGGACGGAACCCAATGGCTTTGCCGAACGTAGTCAGGCGGGTACCTTCTAGGGAGAGTGCGAATCACAGGCACGAAAGGATTATTGATAAGACTTTGAGTCACTGCGAACGGGGAAGCAGCGAAGCGGGCTTAGAAGAGCGGTAGAAGCTGGGCTGCGATGCCGATCCAAACTCCCTCCGGACTAAGACGACCGGAGGGGGTCTAGGACACCCAATGACAGTGATGGAGGTAGTCGCCAGGAGACAAACATAGATTGCTGGGATATCGTGTACAACCAGATAACGTCCACAACCGGTCTGGGTATTACGACTGGGCCAGGCGCATACGACGTCTGGGGTCAAGTGAACTCCTGTAACATAAGAGATGCCTCTATTCTAATCCTGCCTGGAGAAAAAGAAAGAAAAAAACTTGTTGAACTCGATGCGCTGAGCCAGAATTGGGCCACATGGGTTGTGGGTAGGAGTGCGCATCACGCGCTCCTAGATACAGTTTTCGTGCCCAGAAACCTTGTACTTTTCACAGTATATACAACTTGTAAGGCCAGAGAGCCCCCTCGTGTCATCGCAAATCGAGACTTGGCCGCTGGGTTACTTGGTGTTGCCTATCAAAGATAACGATAGTTTAGGATTGGGTCTTGAGGTTCCTGGAAGCCTGCTTGAGGTTCCAGTTGCACTCCTCATACGCCCTACCGGCACCGAAGCCGGCACCGACAAAGGCGGGCCACGCGCGGCGCTTAAAGAGGAGCACGGAGAAGACAACGCCGAATCCGACGCCGAGGGTGGACTTGACAAGAAGGTTGGAGATGCATCGGTCCCACTATAGAATTAGGCATGGAGCCGGGTGTTAGCTTCTGTAAACGAATACGTTTATTTGCGAGGCCCGAATCCATATCTTGAAAGAGAAAAGGATATAGTGGGGGTCATAGGGGCTGCAAAAGACATTTGCGCACCTTCTCGTTGAGGAGAGCCTCGCTGACGGGCCGCGAGATAGCCGAGGTTGAGGGCTGAGTAGAGCTCGACATTGTGGCGGATTGAATGCTGCTTGGATTGTCTGTGAAGACGTTCGCGAGTATTTTTATGCGGGGAGCTGTATTTGCTGCAGCCGGATTGCGTAGTTGCCAAGGAATTGGTCAATTGAGGACGCGGTGGCGCGGGTGAGGTGGTCGTCGAATGTCCGAGTTTGAGGTTTATTCTCGTTCCATTCGGGATCTTGGGATCCTAGTGTTTTTGCTCACCACGTCTAACAAATCAAAAAGCATGGCAAGCAGCAGCAGCGGCCAAGTCTCGGGTCTCAGGGGACTTCCGATAAAGCCGGAGTTTAGCCGTGTTTTCTTCCTAGGACGAAATTCGGTTAGGTAATCCGTCCATGTTGGCTGCTGAGTCTACCAAGTTACACATTATTCTTCAGCACTTGTAGTTGAGGTTGCAGCGGGTTTAACCACCTACGGATGACCTAGGGAGTGCACGAGAACAAAGAGTGAATGAGCGGGGTGAAAGAATGACCATTGAACGGTTTTCGCGCTGCCGCGTGTGCGGTGCGCACATAGTATTGAGGCTGGCCCACTGTCCACTGAGATGCTAAGCTGTAGAGCGATCTTGATACTACCTACCTGGCAACCGTAGACGTACTCGAGGTGGAAGACAGTACCCGGTTAAGGGTCTTCACCTCCATGGAGTTTGACAGAACCAGCAGTATGGGCCTCGATGTAGAGGGAAATCTAGTGCTTTAAACATGAACAATTGAACAGGTATCGCAAGATGGTCGCGATCATTTGAGCGTTCTCTTCGCATATGTATGCCGAAGCTTCGGCGATCTTACTCCAAGGCGAGGAGGGATAGAGCATCCCGCCTTATCTCGCTCTTGGCTCTGTTTGTCAATTAACTAACAATGCTCTGAGAGTGGGTTTGGCGGCTCTTGCTTACTCACATTGATTTGAACATTCACAAAGGCGGTTGGCGGGGAGCGGGGGCGGTGAAAGCTAACTTCCGGTTCCGGATTGGCCGGCAGAATTTATTTTCCTAGATAATTTTCACTTCAATCCGCCTTCTGACAGAGAATGGAAGGAGGAGGAGAACGAAATTCGGTTCGGGAAGAGCGTATATTGCAATGGTTTCGGACTCGGAAATGCCAGATGCTCCTTCTGGAGAAGAGGGCAGCTCACATGTACGTCTTTCATTGCGAATATTTTTATTTTATTTTTGCGTTGACAGCACTAACATATCTATCACAGGCCAACCACACCCTCATCAGGGTTGTGAGAGGGCTAGACCAGGAGGGTCCTGGTGAAAATGGTGAAAAATTGGCGGAACTTTGGAATGCCTTGTCGCATAACGCCTCTGGCCAGTTCTATGCCGCGGAGCAGAGTACATTACGGTGGCTTCTCAAGGTGATGAACCCTTCAACGAAGTCACCCGGCGAGAGCGAGACCCTCCGGCGCTTCCCATTGACATGGAACATCCTGAACTGTGTATTCAAGCGCATCCCTCTTTTCTCGCTAGCGAAAGCCCTAGCGGATAGGAGGTTCATTTCCGTACTTCGCCAAACAGTCAAAGACCTATCGAGCCCCTCCGGAGAAGACGACGTGACCGTCTCCTCGGATCGGAAGCGCAAGCGATCGACCCCAATCGGCTTTAAGCTCGACGACCTTAGGAAACCGACTGGGTGTCTAAAGTCTGCCGAAGCGCTATTTGAGGCGCTCAGTTCCCTCCTCTCCCGCCTCTCGTCTGTTGCTGAAGTATCCACGCGCGAAGCTGTTGGCGCGGAGCATGTCAGGTCTCTCTTCGCCTCTTCGGGAGCAGAATCCCTCGAACTCGTCGTACCGATGCTTGCAATCTGTTACAACTCACTCGAAGTCCATGGCGGCGACTTTGCCGTCAACGTTTCTTGGGTCAAGGTTGCCTCCGACATCTGGGACCTGCGCCTTCGAAGCGGCACCGATACCCTTGAGATTGCGACTCGGGCGACTCAGACCACACTCGCCATGTTCGGACAGTTAGACGAGAAAGTCTGCCAAATCAGCGGAGAGGAGACCAAGTATCCTCATATTCCGGAACACGTCCGCAGGTCGTGGGCAACGGGGCTGCAGGATTTCCTGCAGCGCAACCTGTTCCTCCCCGCGCGGACAGCGTATACGAATTCCGCCGACCTCGAACCGTTGAACATGGCAGTCCTCATGAGCCAGCGCCATCTAAAGGTAACGGCCCCGGCCATCTACTTGCTAGCCCAAAACTCGCCTAAGCCCTTTGACGAAAAGTCCAAAGAAAAGGTTGAGGATTGGATCAATGAAGTTGTGAAAGCTGTTGACGGCTCACTTCGTAATGCTGCCTTGGATATCCGATCCCGGATCCTCGAGGGGATAATGGCGGAGGCCGAGGTGAATAGCATTCGAATCAGTGAACAAGTGTTGAGAGACATATGCTCCAAGTACGGCTTTGAGGAGGGCGTAGCGCGGTGGAGCATCTTGTCTTCTGCCCTGCGCCTAGACCCGGATATCCTGTTCGATCGCGACCAGAGCAGTCCCCTCCTGGATGAAATATTAAAAAGCATCTCTAGCCTCAACGGCTCTTCAGAAGGAGTGGACTGCTTGCAGCACGTGAACCACATTCTTGATGCCATCATCAAAGCATTTGTTAACGCCAAAGACATGCCAGGGTTCTTCAAGCTCTGGCATGGCCAATTATTGGAAGCAAAGACAAGCTCGAGTCCCTGGCTCCAGCAGTCTATTCGGCGCAATAGTACCATTTTCGCACACCAGAGGCTGGAACTTGCAATCACGGTCAACCAGCTGCAAGATATTCTTGACTGGCTGGCCACACAGAGCCAAGAGAATCCGGAGCCTTTGCTTGTCATCGTTGACTCGATAGTTCATGGAATCGGCACGGCAGCATTTACGGATACGCTAGCGAAGAAAATCTCGACCATGGTGCTCGACACCTTGACGCCCAAATCTTCCTCAGCTTCTGCCTCCTCGCTCCGCTGGACTATTCTGAGCAAGGTCATTACATGGATTCGTCCGGAAGAGAGGAGAGCCTCTGGACTCGGGTTCAGCAAAACCTTGTGGCAGTCTTGCAGCTCGGTCAGTTATCGGACCAAGAGACGTTCGAGGCTTTTAAATTCATCTTCGTTGTCTGGTCTTTTATGACTCCAGATGGTGACCATCTTGGAGAGGTGTCCTCGCCTGCGATGGCGGCTATCTCAAGACTGACGAAAGAGGTTCCGGCAAAGGCGGGCAAGAAACTACCTGTCGAATGGAAGTTCCGCGACATTAATGACGCTTCTCCCCTCGCCCCTACCCAAGCTACGCCAGAGGCCTATCTTGCTACCTATCTAGACTACACCTTTGTTGAGTCGTCGCGTTTTCTCCCGTACGTTTTCTACCCCAAGTCTTTCCTAGTTTGCCTGTACTAACCCGCAACAGTCTTGTGTTGAATGCTTCGGCCGACAGAATCTTCCCTGAGTACTTGGATGCTGTCCTTGAGCTCTTCGTCAAAAAGACCAAGAAACAACGGTCCAAGGCTGAGCTTAACGACTCGACGCCTGCCCTAGTCAAGCAGTTCTTTAGGGCTCTTATCTCGAATGAGAACTTGATCAATAGCCGATCATTTATGGGTAAGCCGAAAATTGGGGATGACCAAGCGCTAAGCTTTTAAGAATGACCAATGACTAACGAACTCGCGATACTCCAGATAACCTCATCGACCGTATAGTTTCTACTATGCGGAGCCAATTCAAAGTGAACGAAGATGAGATCTTGGACTCAAATCTTGCCTCACTCTTCTTAGAGATCCCCAACGACTGCCTGACTCGACCCCAGAGAGAACTCGCCGCTAACATGATCTTGGAGCGACTCGAATCTTTGGAGGCCAAGAAGGAGATCATGCCATCGCAATGGAAGTTGGTTTTGGCGGTGCTAACCAAACTAATGAAAAGATCAACGTTTTGTGAGGTATTTGATCACTCGGGTTCCTACCGTTTTAGTGGAGTGTGCTAACCGCGCTTATAGAGTCTTGACTTCAATCGCCTGGTAACTTTGGCAGAGCAAGTCTCGCGCTCTTTGGGTCCGGCTCCGAACCTCACAGCATCGACGAGACGCGCGGACTTGCTTCTATCTATCAAGACTTTGCATTCCATGTACTCACGTATGTCATGTTCTTGAAGCACCATCTCATTCTGGACGACCCCATTCTAACTAATGTAGGCTAATGGCGAACGACTTTGACCACCGCGGCAAGACATGGTTTGAGGACGCATCAGTATACGTCAAGACCTGCCCTACCGATGACAAGTCGACGCACAAGTGCCGGCTCCGGCTGTATCTCTTGAAAGCGTTGGCCGGGGTACTCTCGACGTCCTCCTACCTCAATGCCTCGTCGTCTCCGCTTGTGCCCGAGGTTGTGAGAACGAAGCTTGCGGAAGCCATCTCTTCTACCCTGAAGAAGTGTGGGAAGCACCTAAAGAAACAACCGGAGGAGTTGGAGACGGGCATGTATGTCTATACCATGCTAGCGGCCCTGGAATGTGCGGATGTGGTGCAAGCCTCGCAACTCGATAACAAATCGGTGCCTGTCGATGAGCTGTCCGTGATGAGCACGAGAGGTATCTTTTCGCACCGCCTGAGCGGCTGGAAAATACGGGCATTCCTCCTCAGGCATTACCCTGATGCAGTAGATCGGATCCTGGGTCCGATTGGCCCGGGACGGGAGGAAGCACATAGGCAGCAGGCACTGGACGTTCTAAGAGATCGCGATCTGCCGCCGCTCGTGTTAGAGTGTACCAATGTAGCGCTGCAGTCGCTCAGGGTTGACGGGGACCGCCTCCTTTTCTTGAAGGATCTGATTGATAGACTCGAGTTTGGATCGGATGCTGAAGGCCAGTTGATCGCTATCCGATGCGTAGTGCAATCTCTTGCCGGTAAGTCCTTCTCACCACTGAGTCGCGATAACGCGGCAATGCGTGGCCAACCCATACTAACAAACACCGTCTTGTATAGCTTCGCCACCTTCGAGCAGCTTCAAGGACTACGATCTGTCTGCCGCTTACACCATGCTTGCCCAAAAGTCTCTCCAGGCCGATAGCGGGGCGAGGTTCGGCAAGATCTGCAATATCCTACACGTCATCCTCGATTCCAACGCGGGCCACATCGCGCAGTGGAACATCGAAGAGACACTTTCGCTCGTAGCCGTCATTTGCTCCGATTGCGCTTCCGCGAGCAGACTGACGACCTCGGCCAAGACTTTCTATCACCTCTGCAAACTCGTCGAGGCGATCCTGAAGAGGTACCGCCTCCGTCTTGAGGGTCATTTTCACCTCCTTATCACAGCGATGCAATCCTACTCACGGCCCTACTCCTGCACCCATACGATTCTGGGCGGGGTCTTGGGCCGCGCCGCCACTCAATATGGGGCGGACGTATCCAGGCTGGGAGGAGGACGCGACGGCGTACAACCGGCTTCTGACACTCATCTGCGAGCCGACTGTGGGATCCGTGACACGGTCTCACCATGGTGGCATGCTTGATGCGGCGGCGGACGTGGCAAAGAGGTCAGCGGGCCGGCAGGTTTACCTTGTGCTCACGACGTACGTGAGGCTACAGATGCAGGTAGGCGTGCCGCGGCCCGTGAGAGAGGCTCTAGAGCCGGGCGTCAACGCGATATTCGACGTGACGCCGGGTGAGGTGCGAAGAGTGATGAATGATGGGTTGGACAAGGCCGGAAGGGAGATTCTCGGGGATTTGTACAGGCGGTATAGAATGTTTGGTAAGTGGACGGGCAAGTAGCGGTGCCACAGCGAGAGGAGCCCGTAGATGTAGGGTCATACGAGCTGTGTAAATAGACGGGGAGCTAGCTACGTTGCTGAACGACAAGGCAAGAATGTGTTGAACAGACAGAGCAAAACAAAATAGAAGTAAATAATCCTACTTAATTTTGAACTGTACTGTATTCTTTGCACTTTAGATTGGCATTGATACGAAGTAGATATGATTGCTGCCGGTGAACTGTCTCGATCCCTGATTCTTTCTCTTCCTCTTTCGCTCTGTTGCTTGGATTGCTCCGCGACGCAGCTCGCGCCCGTTAGGCCATTGGGTCCTTGTGAAGCTGTGTCGAAATGCAGGGACCGATCACTCTTGTTGCAATGGAGTCATGGATCTACTAGACCCATCATCTATGGAAGGATATAAGCACGATCCTGGCGGCCGCCCGAGCTCTGACGATGCTGGTGGATCGACACTGTCTTTCCGAGAATGAACCAATTGATTTTCACATGATTGAGCTGGCTTGGAGATTTGGCCCGTGCAGATGCATTGGATCAATTGCTTTTCTCACCTCAGCACCTTAGTGAAACCTGGAGCAAGCATCGAATCCGTTTCTTCGGTACCTCCCCTCCATTGACCCCCTAATAAAGCTGAGCTAGCTCTTAAACCAAAAAGAAAAAAACGAGGGGAAAGAACAAACAAGCGATAGAAAAGAACTGGCAAATCCACCGGCAAATCAATTCCTGCGCAACCCGACTGTATATACATCAATACATTTCTCCGCTGAATAGCTCTATCTGGTCCTTCAATACTCGTCGCGATCCTGTCCTCCTGAAGCTCCGCCGAATGTCCTAATCGTCTTCCCACTCGACGCAGTTCGTTTCCTGCTCACAAACTCCCCTCCATGGAGAGCTCACACACACTCTGGATCGTCGCCTCCACAGCTGTAGCCGTTTTCGCAGCTTTCATAATGGGTCTTTTCGGGCGCAATCAGATGCCTGTCGATGGCAAGGTATGCGACTCGTTCGTTCTAGCCGGGTCTCCGTCCACGACCCGGCTGCTCCGGCCTCGCCACCTATTGCGACCTATTGCGAGATTGCTAACGTCTTGGGATCTTAGACCGTACTGATCACGGGCGCGTCCGAGGAATGGGCCTCGCGGTTGCCAAGCAGCTCGCCGCGAAAGGAGCCAACGTCATCATTGTCTCCCGCAGCGTAGGCAAGCTCGAGGAAGCTCTTGTTCTTCTCAAGGTTCGTGTCCCACATTTTTTTCCCCGTCTTTCTTGATGTCGCCTTGGGACCCCAATCCCCCGGTTGGGGTGCACCCTCGCTGCTCTTGCTTTTCTTTTGGCCCCTCGTGACCCCCTCTTCCACATAGTTAGCTAACTCTTCCCCCTTCTGTCTCGATAGGCATCGGCAAAGAACCCCAAAACCCAGCGATTCCACTACATCTCCGCCGACGTCTCCCTTCCCGATTACGCCGGCCCCCTACTCGCGGAAGCCATCGCCTGGAACGCGGGCCGGGCCCCAGACGTTGTCTGGTGCATAGCCGGCATGTGCGCCCCTGGCCTCTTTGCCGAGACGCCCTTCTCTAGCCTCCGCGAGCACATGGATATCAACTTTTACGGAGCGGCCGAGATGTCGCACGCTATCCTGCGCGAGTGGCTCCGCCCGGACGGCCCGGTCAACGAGCCCCTAAACACTTGGTGTTCACCGCCAGTGTCGTTGCTTTCTATACCGTGGCCGGCTACGGCGCCTACGCCCCGGCCAAGAGCGCCATCCGCGCGCTCGCCGACACCATCTCCCAGGAGGTCATGCTCTACCCGCAAAAGGTGGAGGTCCATGTCGTGTACCCTGGCACGATTGACTCCCGGGGCTGGAAAAGGAGAATAAGCTCAAGCCCGAGATCACGCTGCTGCTCGAGAAAGACGACCCCGTCCAGAGCGCGGAGGAAGTGGCAAGCCGGGCCATCGCCGGGCTTGAGCGGGGAGACTTCTTCATCACTGTCTCTTGGCTCGGTCACCTCATGAAATGGGGCGCCATGGGAGGTTCTTTGAGGAATAGCTGGGTGATTGATACCCTGATGATGGTGGTGACGGCGTTTGCCTGGATCATTGCGCAACCCGTCATCCTCGGCACGGTCAGGAAATTTGCCAAGCAGAATGGCCATCCGAGCACCTACAAGAAGAAGACTGGCGCTTGATTTGCTCCTTGATCGCGTTTTCTTCTCTTCTTTCCTTTCCTTTTCCTTCAATGTTTCCTCTGTATATTTCTAAGGGATGGGCGGCTTCACATTTGGTAGCTTGAATCACGAGAATAGCCCAAGGAAAAAAGTGTACGTGTACGAGAGCTTCTTGAATGTACAACAAGGCGAGAATCGGCGGGTGGTGCGCAGCGAACGAGGCACGTTTCTTCAATGAACATGGGATCCCCTCCCTTCAATCTCACATTACCTATACCCTAATCCCTCATGAGCAGGTTGTCTTCTGGGTGGAACTATAACGCGGAACAATTACTGGCTGCTTATTTATATATATTTTACTCTTACCATCCATTACCCTGGACATGGCCTTGTTTCTTTATGAATTCACTTCACTCCACCGTGCATTTTACTTGGCGCTACTCTAACGCCCCGAGACGCATAACGTTGAAATTCTTCTTGCCAGAACAACCCGGCGCACTTGGGAATTGCAAAGGAAGCAGGGGTGGGAACTCTTGGTCCTGTTTCTCTCTTGTCCAGAGCGGCGCCAGCAGTGCCCTGACCTCTGCCAGGCCCTCGGCCGCGGCTTCTACCCCGCCAAGGAACGCAATGTCTTGCTCGGCCAAATGCTTCTCTTCTTCGCTGAGCGGGCGCAGCCTTTCCCTCTTCACCACATCCACCACGGACCCCTCGAGCTTGCCGGCCCTCCTCTCCGACCCGAAGGCGACAAGGTTCCCCCTCCGCACGACGAGAACCTGGTCGACGCCCTCTTCGGCATCGATCCACTCGGCAGAGGCGACCAGTCCCGCGTAAGAAACGTCGTGGATCTTCTTGGGCGTCAGCCGCAGCGGCAGGCCCTTGGACCCGGCCTCGGGCAGCTGGCGATGGAACCGGGTGAGTATGCCCAGGCGACTGAGCCCCTCGGGGACGGCGAGCACGGCGACCTCGACGCGGTAGCCGCCGCGGTGAAAGGCCTTGGCGAGATCGATAAAGTCGTTGGGGTGGCGGCACGCGCTCTCGAGGAGGACGTCGACGCGGCGCGAGATGGCAGCTTCGCAGGCCATGGCGAGCCACCGCCGCGCGTCGGCGCCCGAGGCGCGGGATGCGAGGAAGGAGTCCTGCTTGGCGAGGGTGGCGTAGGCCGGGTGGAATCGCTTATACGTGTCCGCGATGAAGTGTACGGGCACGCGCTCTGGGCCGCCGCCGCCGCCGCCGCCGGGCTGGAGGTGGGACCGGTGACGGGCTAGGGCGGCGTGGAGGACGGGGGCGGTGCGGGTTTTGCCGGCGCCCGTTTGGCCGACAAGAAGGACTGCGAGGGGTTTGGTGTCGGGCGCATTTGTGAGGAGGGGGACGTCGGGGGAATTCGGAGGAGGATGGCGGATGTGAAGATGTGTTGTGATTCGGATTCGGAGAGGGTGTAGCCGGCGAGGTCGGCTGGGGGAAGCATTTTTTTAGGGGGAGCACTTTGAACGCACGAGAAGGGGCTAGGGCTCGGTATTCAAGAGAGTTTTACTCCCTCTCTTTATCATTCTTTTTCTGCTATGATTGATATGAGGAGCATATGAAGTGGCCCATGGAAGAGAGTGGTCGAGGGGTGAATGGTCTAACACAGGTCTGTGTGGGATGGGTGACCGTAGGGCCGGGACTGGATGTGGGGTTAATAGCATGTCAACGGGCCTGACTTTATGCTGGTCTAAGTCTTTTTCCCTGCCCCTTGATCAATCAAAGTAAAGATTCGCCCGACGTTTGCCGCTAAAACTAGCTAGTTTTGCGTTGAAAGTGTCACTTGTATCTCTGGGAGCCTTCTCCGTTGAGCTGCCAGGCATCGCAGGATCAATCTATGACACCGTGCTCTTTGGGGGAGGACCGGGCTGCCCTCAGGCATACGGCGTGGGGGAGGGGCAACGACATGCACCACGCTGCACGTGCGATTTAGTCCGCGCGGGGGCATCAATCATTCCATCCAAGTTTATGTTTATAGTATCGTCCCAGGATTTCGCCTTTCGAAAGGGAGGAACCACTGCTGTGCAGCGGCTTATTGGATCGGAGGATGGCATACGATGCCGCTACTCGCGTGTGGGAGAAAGAGTGGCTCCTCTCTCGTTCAAGCAAAGGAAAGCCCTGAGAGGGTCGCTGCTAAGGGATCCATATCCTCATGTGGAAACGTATGTAGACATTGTGGCTCTTGGACTTTCAAAGGCCCAAGTTATCGCTCAACCTGGTATCTATTGTCTCCATTGTCTCCATCTTTCGATAGATTGCTCAACGACGCGAAGCAAGAAGCAGCCCGGTTCAATTCATGGTGGGGTGCATTTTCTCTTTGTCTCGACAAGAGGATCAACTGTATGCAAGTGGAAAGGATAAATGCAACTAACGGGGTTTCGTTTCGTTATCTTATCGATAAGCACAGGACATGGGAATTGGGGAAAAAATTCTGAGAAAAAGAAAGACCCGCCTTTTTTGTACATCAATTTTGCAACCCGCGGTGGAATCGTCTTTTCTAGGTGGCGCCCTTGTCTACTTTTTCAGGATTTTAAGGCCCTTTGCAACAAGGTCCATAGCCGAGAACCTTTGTTCCAACTACCTCACGCACCAAAAAGAAGTTAAGCAATGGGCAAGAAGAGAAAGTCTCGTGGGCCCCAGGAGCCCAAGGGTCCCCGGGGCGTCGACCCCGCCGATGCCCGCCTCGGCCCCGTCACGACCTACGCCGACATTGCGGATTCCGAAGACGAGTACTTTATGAAGCAGGACGAGATTCGCTTTGATGACGAGCCGAATTCCAAGAGGCAAAGAAAACTCGACGAGGAAGCCGCCTTCCTGTCGGAGTCTGAAGACGAAGTACTAGCGATCAACGACTCGGACGACTCGGATGCCGACCTTATAGCTGCCCAAAAGGCCTCGAAAAGCCAAAGAAGAAGTCAAGAAACGGGCGGCGGAATCTGACGAGGAAGATGAGGCACGAGGCGCCGAAGAAGACGAGGAGGGGATTCCAATTGGTGGGGCTCGTCGCGAAAGGAGTACTACGATGCCGACCAGATCGAAACCGAAGCCGACGCCCTTGAGGAGGAAGCCGAGGCGAAACGGCTGCAGCAAAAGAAGTTAGCCAAGATGACGGACGAGGACTTTTTCTTTGATCAGGACGAATGGCTACAGGAAGACGGCAAGGAGGATGGCCCCGAGGTCGTGACTGAGGTCCTTGCGGACATTGAAATCGCCGATGATATGACTCCGGATGACCGATATTCACTGTTAAAAGCGAGATACCCCGAGTTCGAACCCCTTGTCGCCGAGTTCCAAGAGCTACACCCTCAATTACCCGTGCTGCAGCAAGAAGCCGAGGGACGGCCTAGCCGATCCCTGCCGGCAGTGAAGTACTGGATCTTGGGCTGTTACGTAGCGGCCTTGGCCAGCTATTTCGCCCTTCTTACCTCTCCCGCAAGGGATGAGGCTGGCGTGCAAAAGACGATGAATCCCGCGGAGCTTCGCGATCACGATATAATGGAAACCCTGGTAGCGTGCAGGGAGCAATGGAATAGGGTCAAGAGCCTAAAGGCTTCACTACTAGACGTCGCCGCCGAAACGTCGGAAGCCGAGTCCGGAGCCGACGATGCGCGGGATGAGTCGATGCTCGACGATGCTGCGCTGACGAAACCCAAGGCCCAGAAGAAGAAGAAGACGAAACCTACCAAGAAGGATCTCGAAGCCTCGCGGGCGGCCCAAAAGGTCGAAAAGTCGCTCGAGGACCTCTACAACCTCCCCTTGCGACCAAGAAGGCCAAAAGCCCAAGGCCGGCAAGGTTGCCGAGGCTGCCGCTGCCGCCGAGGACGACTTCTCCGACTTTGGCGAAGAGGACTCGCTGGACGCCAAGGCGGCAGCGGAAAAGGCGCAGCGAAAGAAAAGTCTCCGCTTCTACACGTCGCAGATTGTGCAAAAGGCCAACAAGCGCGCTGGTGCGGGCCGCGATGCGGGCGGCGACATGGATATCCCGTACCGCGAGCGTCTCCGGGACCGCCAGGCGCGCCTCAACGCCGAGGCGGAACGTCGCGGCAAGAAGGGCCTCAAGCCCGGCGAGGCGCTGGGCGGAGACGACAGCGACGGCGAGGGCGATGCCGGGGCCAAGGCCATGCGCGACAACGAGGACGAGTACTACGACATGGTGGCGGCAATCTCCAACAAGAAGAAGACGGAAAAGGCCGATCGCAAGGCCGCCCTCGCCGCCGCCAGCGCCACGGACCGAGTGGTCGAGGTGGAGGAGATTGGCGAGGATGGCAAGAGGAAGGTGACGTACGCGATCGAGAAGAACAAGGGCCTGACGCCCAGGAGAAAGAAGGAGAACAGGAACCCTCGCGTGAAGAAGAGGATGGCGTACGAAGCCAAGATGAAGAAGCTCAAGAGCATGAAGCCCACGTTCAAGCCGGAACCCAAGGGCGGCTACAGGGGTGTGGAGACCGGTATCAAGGCTGGCTTGATCAAGAGTACAAAGTTCTGATAGAGCATGGCATGCGGGGGCGGGTGCGAGGATGGACAGGACAGGGCATGGGCGGACGTGGGGGACCAGTCTAAATCTACACACTGTATTATGCACCATTGCAATGGAGTTCAAAATGGAGAGATTTACGTCAAAACTGACAAGTTCCTATTCTTTCTCTTTCGCCCACGAGTTTTCTGTAGCCCCATTCATTCTTCGCTCTTTTGGTTTTCTGAGCTCTGCTGTTCACTTTGACGCTGTTCCTGCCTCCCACTTCATCAAGTTATTATTCTCTAATTCTGGTGGTGGGAAGTTATGCTTGAGGACTTATGTAAGCCCCTTTTCCGAGCGAGACACGACGCCGTAATTCAAGCTCCAGTGTTCCCACTTGACGACACATCAATTCTGGCAGGCGTGGGCTGTTCCTGAAATGCGCATAGTGGGCGCGGTTTCCATCTTCCAAGCCTGCCGATTCGGGACAAGTATTTAATAGCGCCGGCCCAAAAATACACCACAAGGCCCCTTCTCCATCATACCCCTCTCGTTCGTCCCACCAACCCTAGAAAAATGGCGGCGCCGGATATATCAACCTTCACCTCCGCGGACGAGGTCTTTGCGCCCAACCACACCCTTCCCCAGATCCGCGCCATCCATAAAACCATCCATGAGCAGCTCGAGGAGAAAGCCAGCCGCCTGCGGAGCCAGGTGGGCGGCTCCTACCGGGAGCTCCTGGGCACCGCCGACACGATTGTGGCCATGAAGGGCGACAACGACGCCGTCCGGACCGTGCTCGAGGCGATCGGGGCCCGGTGCGGGCGGGGGTCGTACGGGAAAAGATTGCCGGCATGGCGGGGTTTTCGGCGTTTCTCGAGGAGGAGAGCAAAGTGCCCGGCTCGAGGCTGGCGCCGAGGGAGGCTGGGCGCCTAAAGCTCATCGAGGCCTGCATCCTCACCGTGGCGCGGGCTTTGCGAGGCGGCGGCGTTGGCGTTGTCGCTGCTGCGCCTTCGCCTCTTGCTCCTTTTTCTGCGGGTGCCGCCGGGGCAGATGCGGCCTCGCAACCTAGCAACGGGGACCGACTCTTGCTGGCGGCCAAGGCCTCGGTGCTCGGCCGTCTGCTCGTCAAGACGTTTGGCCAAGGCGTCGCGGACGAGCGGGCCAAGGCATCGGTGGAGGCGGCGATCAAGAGCCTCGATTCCCTGCGCCAGAAGCTCGTGGGACGGGTGAACCGCCTGCTTCGGCACTGCGGGACGGACCAGGAGCAGGACGACCTTGCGAAAGCCTTGGCGGCCTACGGCCTGGTCACGAACTCGGGCGCGCGCGACGTCCTCTCCCACTTCCTCCGGGTGAGGGGCAAGGCCCTGGCCACGGCCTTTGAGGTGGAGGAGAGCGAGCGCGAGCGGAGCGCGAGGGACGTGTCGGCGGCGCTGGGGCTCTATATTCGGACCCTCATCGACGTGCAGGCCCTCGCGCCCTACAAGATCTCCGAGGTCCTGCTGGCGCTCAAGAGATATCCGCTTGTGGAAGACGTGAGCCTGCGGAAGATGGAAATTCTGAGGCTTGACATTTATCAGAGGTGGTGTAGTGACGAGGTGCAGACGTTTACTCCTTTTATCCAGCACGGCGATCTCGACGTGAAGCAGGCCAAGGAGATGCTGGGCAGCTGGGCCAAGAAGGCGTCGGACGTTCTCATCAAGGGCCTCGTAAAGACCCTCGATACTATGTCGGAGTTTAAGAGCATAGTCGAGCTGAGGACTAGCGTCGTTCAGTTATGGGTTCGCGATGGTCCTCGCGCGAGGGGTTTGATCCAAAGGAAATGCTCGATAGGCTGCGCGAGGCCATCAACGGTCGTCTTTTGGCTTTGCTGGAGACCAAGGTTGGGAAGCTAAACCTTGTCGGCTCCGAGGTGGCTGCGACGCTGGAACACTGGCGCGAGGGTGTCACGGATAACACGCAGGCAAAGCTCTGGGACGTATCAACGTACGACATGGAAATGACCAATGGCGTGGCCGCTTTCATTCAAGAGGTCGTGTCACGCCTCCACGGAAGCAACGACGCCGTATCCAAGGCAGTCAACTCATACAACTCATGGAGGCACGTCATCGAGGATGTGGACGACGTCGTGGAACACCTTCGCAAGCAGCGCTGGGATACCGATATTGATGATCTCGAGGATGACGACGTCATCGAGCTCAGGCAAGAGGCGCTGGCCAAGACTGACCCCGGCGCGCTCAAGGCAAAGCTCGATGCTTGCCTCCAAAAGTCGTTCAAGACTTTGGAGGAGAGGTTGGCTGCGCTTTGGCATGAGAGGGAAGACAGCCCCAATAGCGGCCGCATCGCAATGTTCTTCATCCGTGTATTGCGCGACATCCGACGAGGGCTGCCGCCGATGGAGAGCATACGCGGGTTCGGCCTCGGAATTGTACCCTCTTTGCATCAGAAGGCTGCCCACGAGGTCTCCATCTCAGCGATTGACGAGTTTGCTTCACGGGTTATTACACGACTTACCGTCCCCAGCCGGCCTCTGTGGGAGGGAAGCCCGGAGCTACCGACGCAGTGCTCGCCGGCAATGTCTTTGTTTCTCAAGGAACTTCTCGAGTCCATGTCGGATGCCGGGATCGACTTGTGGAGCCCGACCGCCGTCAATGTACTCAAAGGTATCGTGTCGGCGCAGGTTTCTGAACTGTGGACAGAAGCGCTGGGAAAGCTACCGCAAGGCGTAAAGGCTGGTAAATCGGGGAGTGAGGCAACCCCCGACAGTGCTGATCAAGGCGATGCCAAGCAGGAAGAGAAGGAGGAGGAAGCTATAGCTGAAGCTGATACAGAAGCGGAGGAGAACGAGAAGGAGGCAGAGAACGAGCAGGAAATGGAAAAGGAAGAAGTTGATGAAAAGACGGTCGAGGTAGACGATGCGAAAGAGGCTTCCCTTTCCGAAGAGGGGCGCAAGGAACTCCTCACGCAGTGGTTCTTCGACGTGACGTACTTGGCTCGATTCTTCGAGACGGTAGAGACGTCCAAGGAGGAGTTTGAAAAGTTGGCTAAGAAGATTTACGAACAGTCGGGGCTCGACGATGATGGTCTGAAGCAGCGGATCATTAAATCGACGGAAGAGTATTGGAGACGTACGAACTTGATGTTTGGACTGCTCTAGGGCTTTGCATGACATTACGATTTGATCTTTAGAAAAAGAATCTTGCACAATCACATAAAGCGTTTATATATTTCACGTCATGGCCACTCTTGCATTCTCCTTCCTCTCCGCGCATGATGCCAGATCACCGGTCTTTTTGTGCTTTTCTTTTCATGAGCGTTTCATCATTGATCTCAAGATCGTGCGTTGCCGACCATCTTGGGCGTATATATATATATAAATCATGCCACCTCACGCGAGTGTTTCCGACGAAGCGAAGGTCTCTTTAAACATGAATGGAAGTAAAATTTTGTACATGGTCTAAAAGCTTACAGCTTGTGCCTCTTCTCGCCGCGGGCAATCTTCCTAAACTCCTCCTGGGGATTCCCTTCATCAGCCTGTCGACACCGGCAAAGACCTCCTCGACGTTGTGGAGGTCAAACTCCTTGATCTCGGGCCCGCGCAGCACTTCTTGATGCCGATGAGACTGTCGCCAACCAGGTGCTCGCCGAGGCGGTCGTCGACCTCCTTGAGGACCCTCTCCTTGAACCGGACATCGGCGCCGGAGCCGGAGCCGACGTCGAAGATCTCGTTGAGGTAGCCGCACTGCAGGAGGGCGTTGGCGGGGATCTTTTTGCTCATGAGAAGAGCCTCGTTGGCCTTGGCGGGGCCGAGACGCTTGGTGAGGGCGCGGGAGGCGGCGCCCTCGGCAACGAGTCCGAGAGAGGCGAAGGGGGTGAGGAGGAAGGTGTCGGGGTGCCGTAGATGAAGTCGGCGATGGAGACGATGGCGGCGGAGAGGCCGATGGCGGGGCCGTTGAGGGCGGCGACGAGGACCTTGGGGTGGCTGTAGAAGGCGCGGGTGAGGTTGAGGTTGTTGACGAGGAAGGTGTTGAGGAGGTGACGGTGCTGGGGGCGGTGGAGGCGGGATCCGGGCCGGCGAGGGCGGTGGTGACGTCGGCGCCGCTGTTTGTCGCAGTCCGGGGACTTTTTGTTAGCGATTCCGGGGGTGATTTATACAATGATGCGCGCGGGGAAAAGAGAAGCATGGGGGAGGGGGAGGGGTGAGCGCGTACGCGGAAAAGAAGCGGCCCTTGCCAATGAGGACGGTAATGTAGACCTCGTCGTGAGTGGCGACCTCGTTCATCTTGGTGGCGAGCTCGTAGTACTGGTCCTGGTTGAGGGCGCCGAGCTTCTTGCCATTGTCAATGGTGATGACGGCGACGCGACCCTTGTACTCGACGCTGATGACGGAGGACGACATGGTGGGCACGGTATGTGTGGTATTACTTGTAGAGAGAGTGGGTTTCTTGACGAGAGGGCTGGCAGGTTTGCCGGGTTACTGAGAGTCAAGGTGAGGCCGGGGATGAGCTCGGGTGGGAGGGAGATGAGAGCCGGGATGGCGCGAAACAGGCAAGCTATACGAAGAGAGCAGACCGCGAGAAAAGGAAAAAAAGAGCGGGGGGCAGTTTCGAGAGATTTGACAGCACGAGGGAACAGGCAAGAGGCCTTTTAAGGAATAATGAAATCCTAGAAAAAGAAAAAAAGGCAAGAGGGGAGAAGGGAGGGGAGGGGGAGGGATGGGATGTTGAGGAGCAAAAAAGCTGGGGTAAAAATCCTGGGGCAGGTAGCAATGTTAGTTGAATTGGGGGACCTGGATCTCGGTATCGGTATTGTTGCCCGGAGCTAAGACGTCAGTTGAGCTTGAGTCGAGGCAAGAGCAAGCAAAAAAAAAAAGGAAGAAAAGGAATCGGCGTGGCCTGGCGCTTGGTTCCCTCGCTGCGGGCTGGTTCGAGACCCCACACGCTGCTTAAAGTCCGAGACGTGGGAACGGGCGAAGATGCCTCGGCTTCCAGATCCTTTCTCCGCCGCCCGGGATTCGGTCGGTGGAGGCATCGACGGATTTGGATTGGCGTCGTTTTCTCGCGCCTGTTCGAGAAAGGAATAACCGCAACTCGGTTTCTACTGCGAGATGCTTTTCTTTTGTACGTCTGTTCGTTTTATTTTCACGCACGAATATAGATAATCAATTTATAGACTAGTGGCCACTGATGCTTTCATAGATCTACTGTCATAGATGAGCACTGACTGCATCTGGTCTCTCTAGTGGATGCTTGTGTTCCATTGAAATATTTAAAACTCTTCCGTCACCCACCTCGCCAGCAATTCGCTAGTGGCAGGCTTGAACAAGAGTTGCACCACCTACACCAATGCTTTTGCTTTTCTATGGCAACAAGAGACGCCTGGTGTAACGAACGAATGTTCTAGCCGCTCGTTCCCCCTTCAAAAGTGAAACCCCCAGGTACAGAGTGTGGACTAGGCTGAAGACCAAGACAAACTTCCCTTTTCCTCTAAGAATGATTGTATCCCGCCAGTTCTCCAGATGCCTCCCCTTCTCCCTGTTCCTATCCCACCTCCCCCACCCCCACCTTCAAATCTGCCTGCGGCCCCAGGAGCTTCCAGGCCGGTTTTTCTAGTTACGGCGCTGGCGGATCCTGCGCTGGCGTGGGAACTGGAGCGGAAGCGCCAACGTCGCCACGTGCTTCACCCTACCCGTAGACTTCTCCTTCAGCTCCTTGACTCGTCCGCCAATCTCCTTGAAGTGAGTCGAGAACTTCTCCATGTCGATCTTGAGGTCTTCTCGGAGAAACTGCACGTCAAATGTGAAGCCATCCAGAACGCTAGCGAGTGCGAGCGCGTGAGTAAGCATAAGCGAGTCGTAGTAGCTGTTAATCTCCCCTCGTCCGTTGGTGAATGTGCGCAGGAAATGATCCGAAATCGTGTCCGACGCCCCGGTGATGGATTTGAAGTCCTTTTTGAGCATCGCCGTGCGCCCCGCTCGTTTCCTTGTCGCGTTGGTGTAGTACACAATGAGGTAATAGATATATCGCAACAACCGTAACCGAGATGCACTGTTGGGTCCTCGGGCCACGTTGTTGAGTCGACTCGCCACAAATTTGGACATGAGCTGCACTCCCTCGCCCTTGTCGCACGCTTCTTGCCAATCCTTGATGCGGATGCCATTGAGTATTTCGGCCCCGATGATTTCCTCCGGCTTGTACACGTCCTGGATCTCCGTCGCCTCCAGGTTCGCATGCGGAATCGGTTTCGTCGAGTCGATCGAGGCTTGTAGTTCGTCGCGCGTGGCCATGCCAGCCGAGGCGCTCTTGATCGCATCTAGCGTCGCGCTCTCGGCTTCGCCAAGCACCATTGGCGTACCGTCCTCATTCATCGTGGGAGTGCAATCTCGTTTCTCGCCTTCTCCTCGATCGCCTTCTTCGCTCGCTTCGATCCGAAGAGACGGCCGAGGTCGTTCATAAGGTCACTATGCTTCATCTGTGAAAGAAAAGACGGGGAAAAAAAGAGGCGTCGAGTTAGTTACTTGCATAGAGCGGAGGTGGGGTGGCCCGGCGGGGGGCACGAACATCTTGGCCGGAACGGCCCGCCGTGGACGGGTCGGGAGGCATTTGCCCCCTCGCTATCGCTCTTACGATGAGCTTCCTCGTCTGGACCACATCCTTCTTCCCAGTCTTGGGATCCTCGTAGCCGACGTATAGCCTTGTCCACCTCGTCGCTGGATCTTCTCTGGCTGTGAACTCGTACACCGGGTGGTCGTTGGAGAAGAGCAGATACTCTCGCCGCTCCAGCTGCGTCGCATCCTTCGCTACCTCGTCCGGTTTGCGCTGTCTTGAGTACACCTTGAACTTTACGTTGTCTGGTAATTTGCAGCCCGCGGGCTCAACTATGCAAAGGCACCCTGTGTTAGGCCTGGAGCGCTTCTCATATACCTGTTTGCGTTTGTAGACCTAGACACTCACGGATGAAGGGCGGGTTCGCCGTCTCTTGCACATCGGCCTCGATCCACGCAAAAGGGTTATCTGCGGCCTGCTTCTTGGACTTTGAAGGTTCGGTGGTAGCAAAAGACGCCCTCTTCCTCTTTTTTGGTCTGCCATCGTAGGAGGGAGTTTATTGAAAGGCCGTTTAACTGCTGCAAACGGTCCTCGCTGTGTGGGTTCGGAGGGGAACCGGGAGAGTTTAGGTAGCCTTCTGATCAGAGAGAAGGTCAATTGGTAGGCGAGACCCTAGATAATCGTCGTATTAATGGTGCTAGGGAATAATTTTTGGGCGACCAAGGTTGGTCGCAGGAAATGGGCTTGATCTTTCAAACGAACGTTTGGTCAGTCTTACAGTCCAGTATCAAAATCTCAATCTTCAAGTCGCTCCAAAAAAAAAAATAGCAGCGGCTTGTCCATCGAAGGGTGGGATGCCCCACCTCGAAAAGAGCTCCAATTCCTGACTAAGCCAAAGAAAGCCATTGTGACTAAGCATATCTGGAGCACGTTGTGTGGGCATGGTACGTACCGCTGTAGGCAGGGGAGCAACCAAGCAAAAGACCTAAGCAGGCAAAAAATCCATTGGAGAGACGTGACGGACCTGCATCACGAAAACCCATCTCATCAACCGAGCGTCCCACCTATCGTCGCGGCATCAACATCGCGACAATTCGCGGAATCCATCGTCAGCACAACACTCTTAGTGTCGCGCGACATCTCTTCATTCAGCCACTGGCGTAGAGGATACTGTTTTCCCGTAGCCCCCGTGCTGGCGCGGCCCTTTGCGACTGGCTAGGTCGCGCGTCCTCCATCGCCGGCCCACCCTCGCCGGTGCCGCTGTTCTATCATATAATCACCCATAATCATGTCTTCGTTACCTCCACCACCCCCGCCTCCGGGCTGGGGCCCTCCTCCTCCTCCTCCTACCCCCTCCGCCGCCACCGGGCGGCTCTCTACCTCCTCCCCCGCCATCCCAGCGCCTCCTCCGCCGGGCTATCGACCTCCCGCCGATCTGCGAATGGCCAAGTTCGCCGAGAAGAAGAAGGAATGGCTCCGCCACCAACGGAATCGATTCGGCGAAAAGCGAAAGGCTGGCTTCGTGGAGACGCAAAAGGCCGACATGCCTCCCGAACACTTGCGCAAGATTGTCCGCGACATTGGCGACGTGTCCCAGAAAAATACACGAGCGATAAGCGTAGCTACTTGGGTGCCCTCAAGTTCATGCCTCATGCGGTATTAAAGCTGCTCGAGAATATGCCCATGCCTTGGGAGTCGACGCGCGAAGTCAAGGTCCTGTACCATGTTAATGGTTGCTTGACCCTCGTCAACGAGATTCCCCGAGTCATCGAGCCGGTATTCTTTGCCCAGTGGGCCATGATGTGGATTGCCATGAGAAGAGAGAAGCAGGATCGAGCCCTGTTCAAGCGAATGAGATTCCCTCCCTTTGATGACGAGGAACCGCCTCTGTCGTGGTCCGAGAACATCGAGGAGGTTGAGCCCTTGCCCCCATCCAATTTGATCTCGACGAAGACGAAGACGCTGCCGTCCTTGAGTGGTTCTACGATCACCGTGCGCTTGTCGAAACCGAACATGTCAACGGACCCAGCTATAAGACTTGGAACCTATCTCTCGAGCAGATGGCGGCTCTTTTCCGTCTCAGCAAGCCCCTCGTTTCCGATGTCGTTGACAAGAACTACTTCTATCTCTTCGACCTAAAGAGTTTCCTGGCTGCCAAGGCCCTCAACGTAGCCCTACCCGGTGGTCCGCGTTTTGAGCCTCTCTACAAGGATATCGACCCCAACGATGAGGATATCGGCGAGTTCAATGCTATCGATCGCATCATTTTCCGTGGCGAAAACCGAAACGAGTTCCGCGTTGCGTATCCTTACCTCTACAATTCGCTTCCGAGGGTGTTCACCTGTCGTGGCACTCGCACCCTCAGATTGTCTTTGCTCGGGCCGAAGACCCCGACCTTCCCGCATTCCATATCGACAAGGGCATCCACATCATCCCTCCCCTGAAGCCGGCGGGAAACCATGTTAGTCATGAAGATGAAATCTTTGGTCCTGGAAACAACGAGGAGCCCGAGGAGGATGCTTTCACTCTTCCCAAGGGAGTTGAGCCCTTCCTCGCTGAGGAGGAGTTGGCGCCAGAGCAAGCTTCCGATGCCATCGAGCTTTGGTGGGCCCCTTACCCCTTTAACCACCGTTCCGGCAAGATGGTTCGTGCCCAAGACGTGCGCCTCATCAAGCAGTGGTACCTCGAGCACCCTCCTATGCAAGGCAAATGCCCTGTCAAGGTAAGGGTGTCATACCAGAAGCTACTCAAGTCCTATGTCTTGAACGAGCTCCACCAGCAGCCGCCCAAGTCGCAAAATAAGCAGGACCTGCTCAAGTCCCTGAGGCAGACCAAATTTTTCCAGCAGACCACCATCGATTGGGTCGAGGCCGGTCTCCAAGTCTGCCGGCAGGGCTTCAACATGCTTAACCTCTTGATCCACCGAAAGAACCTCACCTATCTCCATCTCGATTACAACTTTAACCTCAAGCCCGTCAAGACCCTGACGACCAAGGAGCGCAAAAGTCTCGCTTCGGAAACGCATTCCACCTCATGCGAGAAATCCTGCGTCTCGTGAAGTTGATCGTCGATGCTCACTGCCAGTTCCGTCTCGGCAACATCGACGCCTTTGTGCTAGCTGATGGAATCCACTATGCCTTCAATCACGTTGGCCAGCTAACAGGTATGTACCGTTACAAGTACAAGCTCATGCACCAGATCCGCTCTTGCAAGGATCTCAAGCATCTCATCTACTACCGATTCAACACCAATGGCGTTGGCAAGGGCCCCGGCTGCGGCTTCTGGGCTCCTTCGTGGAGAGTCTGGCTCTTCTTCATGCGAGGTATTATCCCTCTCCTTGAGCGATGGCTTGGGAACCTCCTGTCTCGTCAATTCGAGGGTCGCCATAGCAAGAGCGTGGCCAAGACCGTCACCAAGCAGCGAGTCGAGTCGCACTACGATTTGGAACTCAGGGCTTCCGTCATGGCCGATCTCATGGATATGATGCCCGAGGGTATCAAACAGAACAAGGTCAACACCGTCCTGCAGCATTTGTCCGAGGCCTGGAGGTGCTGGAAGAGTAACATCCCCTGGAAGGTCCCTGGCCTACCTGCGCCCATTGAGAACATCATCCTCCGCTACGTCAAGGCCAAGGCCGATTGGTGGATCTCCGTCGCCCACTACAACCGTGAGCGAATTCGACGAGGTGCGACCGTGGACAAGACCGTCGCGAAGAAGAATGTTGGCCGTCTCACCCGACTCTGGCTCAAGGCGGAGCAGGAGAGGCAGCATAATCACATGAAGGATGGCCCCTATGTATCATCCGAGGAGGCCGTCGCTATCTACACCACCACTGTTCACTGGCTTGAGTCACGCAAATTTTCTCCCATTCCTTTCCCCAGTGTCTCCTACAAGCACGATACCAAGATTCTCATCCTCGCTCTCGAGAGGTTGAGGGAGGCGTATTCCGTCAAGGGTAGATTGAACCAGAGCCAAAGAGAGGAGCTGGCTTTGATCGAACAAGCCTACGACAGCCCGGGTACCACGTTAGAGAGGATCAAGCGCTTCCTTCTCACGCAGAGAGCTTTCAAGGAAGTCAGTATCGATATGAACGACAATTATAACACGATTAACCCCGTGTATGATATCGAGCCAATGGAGAAGATTAGCGACGCCTATTTGGATCAGTATCTCTGGTATCAAGCTGACCAAAGGAACCTTTTCCCTGCTTGGATCAAGCCCTCCGATTCCGAGGTCCCGCCTCTTCTGGTCTACAAGTGGGCCCAGGGTATCAACAACCTAGATCGCGTTTGGGTCACCGAGGACGGCGAGTGCAATGTGCTTGTCGAAACCTCGTTTGCCAAGGTCTATGAGAAGGTGGAGCTTACCCTGCTCAATTCGCTGCTGAGGCTAATCATGGATCACAACTTGGCGGATTATATCACTGCCAAGAACAATGTGCAGCTCACCTACAAGGATATGAACCACACCAACAGCTACGGAATGATCCGTGGTCTCCAGTTCTCGGCCTTTGTCTTCCAGTACTACGGCCTTATCCTTGATCTTCTCCTCCTTGGCCCCCAGCGAGCGAGCGAGATTGACGGCCCTCCCCAGAAGCCTAACGATTTCCTTCAGTTCAGTAGCAAGGAGGTCGAGACGAGACACCCTATCCGCCTGTACAGCAGGTACATCGACAAGGTCTGGGTCTTCCTGCGATTCACCGCCGAGGAGGCTCGTGATCTCATCCAGCGGTACCTGACCGAGCAGCCCGATCCCAACTTTGAGAATGTGATCGGGTACAAGAGCAAAAAGTGCTGGCCTAGAGATTGTCGAATGCGACTGATGAGGCACGACGTCAACTTGGGCCGAGCCGTCTTCTGGGATCTGAAGAACCGTCTCCCCAGATCCGTAACCACGATCGATTGGGATGACAGCTTCGTCAGCGTGTACAGCAAAGACAACCCCAACTTGCTCTATTCCATGTGCGGGTTCGAGGTGCGCATTCTGCCCAAGTGCCGCAACAAGAACGATGAGTTCTCCGAGGTCGACAGTGTGTGGTCTCTGGTGGAGAACACGACCAAAGAGCGTACCGCCCATGCCTTTTTACAAGTGACGGAAGAGGACATTCAGAAGTTCAACAACAGGATCCGACAGATTCTCATGTCCTCGGGCTCCACGACCTTCACCAAGATTGCCAACAAGTGGAATACGGCCTTGATTGCCCTCTTCACATACTATCGCGAGGCTGCCGTTTCGACGGTTCCCCTCCTAGATACCATTGTCAAGTGCGAGACCAAGATCCAAACCCGTGTCAAGATTGGTCTTAATTCCAAGATGCCTTCTCGTTTCCCTCCCGCGGTGTTTTACACGCCCAAGGAACTTGGTGGTCTTGGTATGATTTCTGGCTCTCATATCCTCATCCCCGCCAGCGACAAGCGGTGGTCGAAGCAGACCGACACCGGCGTCACCCATTACAGGGCGGGTATGACGCATGACGAAGAAACCTTGATCCCCAACATCTTCCGTTACATTATTCCCTGGGAGGCCGAGTTCATCGATTCCCAGCGAGTCTGGACAGAGTACGCCCAGAAGCGTATGGAGGCCAACCAGAACAATCGCCGCCTAACGCTCGAGGATCTCGAAGATAGCTGGGATCGCGGTTTGCCCCGTATAAACACCCTCTTCCAAAAGGATCGAAGCACTATCAGCTTCGATAAGGGTTACCGTGCTCGCTCCGAGTTCAAGATTTACCAGCTAATGAAGAGCAACCCGTTCTGGTGGACGAGCCAGAGGCATGACGGCAAGCTCTGGAACCTCAACGCCTACCGAACTGATGTGATCCAAGCCCTCGGAGGTGTCGAGACCATCCTGGAACACACTCTTTTCAAGGCGACGGGCTTCCCCTCTTGGGAGGGTCTCTTCTGGGAGAAGGCCAGCGGTTTCGAAGAGTCCATGAAGTTCAAGAAGCTGACCAACGCCCAACGTTCCGGTCTCAACCAAATCCCCAACCGTCGATTCACGCTGTGGTGGTCCCCACTATTAACCGTGCCAACGTCTACGTCGGTTTCCAAGTCCAGCTCGATCTCACGGGTATCTTCCTCCACGGCAAGATCCCCACGCTCAAGATCTCGCTCATTCAAATTTTCCGAGCTCATTTGTGGCAGAAGATCCACGAATCTGTGGTGATGGATTTGTGTCAGGTGTTTGACCAGGAGCTGGACTCGTTGGGCATCGAAACGGTGCAGAAAGAGACGATCCACCCCGAAAATCGTACAAGATGAATAGCTCCTGCGCGGATATTCTCTTGTTCGCCAGCTACAAGTGGAACGTGACGAGGCCCTCGCTGCTGTTTGATACCAAGGACGTCATCGAGCCTGCGACCACCAACAAATTCTGGGTGGATGTCCAGCTTCGGTATGGCGACTACGATTCTCACGATATTGAGCGGTACACGAGAGCCAAATACCTTGACTACACCACCGATAGCTCCAGCATCTACCCTCGGCTACCGGTCTCATGGTCGGTATCGACCTGGCCTACAATCTTTATTCCGCTTTCGGCATGTACTTCCCCGGCTTGAAGATTCTCATCCAGCAAGCCATGGGTAAGATCATGAAGGCCAACCCGGCCCTGTACGTTCTCCGCGAGCGTATCCGAAAGGGTCTGCAGCTGTACGCCTCGGAGAGCAACCAAGAGTTCCTCAACTCGCAAAATTACTCGGAGCTCTTCAGCAACCAGACGCAGCTTTTCATCGATGATACCAACGTTTACCGTGTCACGATTCACAAGACGTTTGAGGGTAACTTGACAACGAAGCCCATCAACGGTGCCATTTTCATCTTCAACCCCAGGACTGGTCAGCTCTTCTTGAAGATTATTCATACCAGTGTCTGGGCGGGTCAAAAACGTCTCGGCCAGCTAGCGAAGTGGAAAACGGCAGAAGAAGTGGCAGCGCTTATCCGCTCGCTCCCTGCGGAAGAACAGCCCAAACAGCTCATCGTCACGCGCAAGGGTTTGCTAGATCCTCTCGAGGTTCACCTGCTCGACTTCCCCAACATTTCTATCCGTGCTTCCGAGCTGCAGCTACCGTTCCAGGCTGCGATGAAGGTGGAGAAGCTTGGTGACATGATCTTGCGTGCCACGGAACCCCAGATGGTCCTGTTCAACCTCTACGACGAATGGCTAAAGACCATTTCGTCGTACACGGCCTTCTCGCGTCTGATTCTTATTCTCCGCGCCCTCCACGTCAATATGGACAAGACCAAACTCATCTTACGACCCGACAAGACGGTCATTACGCAAGATCACCAGATCTGGCCCACGCTGACGGATGAGGATTGGATCAAGGTGGAAACGCAACTCCGCGACCTTATCCTACACGACTACGGAAAGAAGAACAACGTCAACGTATCCAGTTTGACCAGCAGCGAAGTCCGCGATATCATTCTGGGTATGGAGATTTCGGCGCCTTCTATGCAGAGGCAACAGGCGGCCGAGATCGAGAAGCAGCAAGAGGAGCAGAGGCAGCTTACGGCGGTAACGACCAAGACGCAGAACGTGCGTGGCGAGGAAATTGTCGTCACGACAACATCGCAGTTTGAGCAGCAGACGTTTGCGTCCCGGACGGAATGGCGCACCCGTGCCATTGCCACGTCTAACCTACGCACCCGCTCAAACAACATCTATGTGTCGTCGGTGGATGGCGAGCTTGACGAGATCACGTACGTGATGCCGAACAATATCCTCAAGCGCTTCATCAAGATTGCCGACCTTCGCGTTCAGGTGGCCGGCTACCTCTACGGCTCATCGCCCGATGACAACGACATGGTGAAGGAGATCAAGTGCATTGTTCTGGTGCCACAAATTGGCGGGCTGCGAAACGTCCAGCTTCCCCAGCAGCTTCCCCAACACCCCCTCCTTCAGTCGATGGAGCCCCTCGGCATCATCCACACAATGTCGGGCAATGAGCTACCCTACATGTCGGCGGTTGACGTGACGGAGCATGCCAAGCTGCGAGATGCGCACTCGTCTTGGGCCAAGGACAACCAGACGATGACGGTGACGGTGGCCTTCACGCCCGGCTCCGTCTCGCTCTCGGCGTGGGCGCTTACGCCACAAGGCTACAAGTGGGGCCTGGAGAACAAGGACCTGCAGAGCGACCAGCCTCAGGGCTTCACCACGTCCATGGGCGAGAAGCGGAAGCTGCTCCTTAGCCCCCGTTTCAACGGCTTCTTCCTCGTACCCGAGGCCGGCCAGTGGAACTACAGCTTCATGGGCAGCGCCTTTACGAGATTGGAGAAGAGGCCGATCCGCTGCAAGGTCGACACACCGCAGTCCTTCTATAGCGACTTGCACCGGCCGATCCACTTCCAGGGCTTCGCGGAAATGGAGGACGTTGGCGTCGATCGCGCAGACAACTTTGCATAAGCGACAGGCAGGAAAAGGCACAATGGGCCTCGGTTTCGACCTGCGTTTCCCCAGCATACAAGGTTTCGCTTCCGTTGTTTTTTCTTCCTCCTCCTCTTCTTGTCCCCTTGCATTTGTCTTGGCATCGCCTCCTACTCTCCGGTCACGTTGCTTGGTCGAGTTGAGGCTATTCTAATGATGAGCCCGGCATACGGCCGACCAGGCAGACGGGGGCGGTTTTTGTCATCCGGTTCACCGGTTCATCCCCCCACCTTCTTTTCCTCTCCTTGGCTATTCTCTCTCTCGCCTTGCTTTTTGGCCCTTGATACAATCGACTCGGAACTCTACCATGCAAAACCAAGAACGGATTTTGACGTCATCTGGCTAAAGAAGAGCAGGTAGAGGTGTAGAGTGTGTGTACCATAGGTTCCAATGATGGGGTCTACTGGGAAGCAAACTTCAATACGAGGAGAGAGACAAGGGAGGGGAAAACTCAAGAGGGAGAGCATGCAAACCTCGTTAGGTGTGGATACAACGGACTAAGCAAGACGTATGGGCGTGGGGGATATGAGTGAGTGACGAGAACGGCAAAAACGAAGCAGAGGAAGGCATAGCAGCACGGGAAGAAGAAAAAAAACTGCTGAGAAATCCATTGTTTCCCGCTCGTCATTCTGCATTCCCTTCCCCTCTACATTCCGTCTTGGTCTTCCCGTTTGCGGATTACCGAGCTCGGCATATAACACGAATAAGACACGTTTGATCGTCGTGATAGTTCAGGGAAGGGAGAGGGGAGGGGTGAGGGGAGTTTTCGGACAACGAACAAAACGGAGCTAGGCATAGATCAAGGGAGGCCAAGGAGGAAAGGGCTATGAGTTGTGCGAGGAAAAAAGAAGACCAAGTCCAGGTTGGGAGGCGAGGGGAATGATGACACGAGAATAACAGTGGAACGCAGGATTGAAAAAGAAGAGGAGGAGGAGGAGAAAAGAAGAAGAAAACTACAGTCGCAAGCAGCATCGAGGCTTCATTTTTTACACGAGAGGAAAATGGGCGTGAGTGTATTTATCTTGTACGGATTGGTTTTCAGTTATTGATTTTTCATATGACGCATCTTGAGAAAGATTGTTGTAATTAATTTACAATTGGTACATGTACATTCAGTATAGACATTGGTCTAGCCTTGTTTCCTGCGCGTCCCCGCCCCGTCTTTTGATGAGGAAACACAAATGTTTACAGATCGAGCAGACTTAAAAGTTTATGCCCGCGAGTGTGTGTGTGTGTGTGTGTGTGTGTGCGAGCGAGGAATATCTCGGTTTCAAGCAAGTGTGTGAAACCCTAGACGTCGCTTCCGTGTTCTCAATGCCTGCATGTGCCGGCGAGGAATGTTTGTCTAGTGGCATGGCATTCTCTCCTGTCCTCTTCATGGAGATCAAAGGAAGAGGGACCAAAGAAAGCGCCATTAGCCAAGGAGAGAATAATAGAGGATGGGAAGAAAGGAAAAAAGGAGAGAATAAGAAAAGGGTCGAGGAAACATTCACGCCGGAGTGGTGACGGCCACTCCCCTCATCCTCCCCGGAGCCAGTATTTTTTTCCTCTTTTGTTTCCATTGAGAATCATCCGGCCTATTGTCGTGCAGGTATGTACACAGTTGGCGTGGGAAAATGATGGATGGTCACGCACAGGGGGATGACGCCGGGCCGAGTTTTGATGTTTTCGTTTCCCCGAGCTACTCTTAAACTCTTGCGCCGGAGAGGCGTCGACAATCGATCGCCGATGGAGGGATCAGGCACGAAAAGAAGGGAGGGGGGCATCTGCCATGCAGACATGCACCCTTGGATACTGACGAAGATAGCATGCGGGCGGGAAAAGAAGAAGAAAACCACAAAAAAGGGCAATAACACACAATCATTGTAGATCAATCAAGGGGACGGGCGGATGGGATTCGGCCAGCTGGGCCAGCTTTTGAGGAAATCCGAGTCGATCGGACATCTACACCAAGAAACCGGCAGCGCGTGGTGTGTGGTGCATAGTAGCGAAGACTAGTTGAGTCCCGGGTGACAACGGGAGCGCGCGCAAAAAGCCATCTCTCATCGTTAGGTTGATATCCTCTTCTGCCCATGTATGATGAGCGTCGAAGATCTTGATGAACATAGAAGAAAAAGCGGGAAAAAAGAGACAAAGAGAAAACGACCGAGGACCGAGTGTAAACAATGGGCGAGCGTGTCCGGGAATGCAGTCTTCAGAATGGGAACAAGAGCGTGAAGAGCATTGATTAGCATCTGCAGGGTAGCATCCCGACCCGGGCTGCTGCTCCCATTCTTCGCCAAACAAGCCAAAAGTGGGCATTTAGCGTGTTGCCCTCTTTTTTTTTTCCCTCTATCTGTTTTCGGCGGTGGCCCAGGAGAGGGTGGCTGTTCTCAGGGTTCTGTTGCTGCTACCGCTGCTCCCTCCCTCATCTTCGCATCCACGACCTCCCTGAACCAGAAAATCGTACGGATGGAAGGGTTAGCCACTCGTGGGTGTTCAGATGAACCGCGCATGGAGGATGCAGGTCATTTCCGTGGTCCGGTAGTGTCGAACAGCGTGCAGCTCCAGGGTTGCAGGCGGGACGGTGGATGGGTTGAGGCCGATCTTAATGACTGGCTGCCCCCGTTATCGTAGAGTCTAGATTATAGGTTATAGTGTATAATGGATGGCACGAGAAGAAACCATTCCATGGTAGAGAGTGGCACACCCACACACCCACACTTACACTTACATACTTCCACACACATCTGTGTCTGCGCTGCGTTCATCCATGGATCGATTGAGGGATGGGATGGGTAGTGACAAATAGCGTGTGGGAATCTTTGGGGACGGAACGGGGCTGCTGCAAGCCATTCAGCCAATCCACCCCCGCACCCACACGCGCTGGCGCCCAACTGCCAGAGAGACGGAGGCTGACGGAGACGAAGTCAGGGTCATGGCCGAGCGAGAATTGGGTGGTGGGCACCTGCAAGCGCGGCCTCGGGACGAGATGATCGCATCTCGACCATGGATATGGAACGACGAGTGTACACAATCATCTCCTGTCTCAGCTCTACATCCCACCTTACAAATAAAAAAGAAAAACAGGGGGTTCCAGCTTCGCAAGGGCTGCTGGCTAGCAAAAGCTCGGCAAAGGGGAAAGACAATTTAGTCTTCTTGCTGAAGCCTCTTCGAACCCCATAGCCAACGCTCCTTCCTGCCCCGACTCACACATACCGAGCTGGCCTCAAGCCCAAGGCGAGTCGAGTGTAAATTGGACGGAGAACGGGCTCGTTCGAGTAAGATTCGCGAGCTGCTGGTCCCAACGGAAGTTGCCCAGACACTGCTCGTCTCGAAGGGCTCGTTCAGCTGACTGACGCGTGGATGAGGCGGGATCGTAGGGGGCAATATTAGAATTGTTCATGCATTAATGCGCCCGTCGTTCCTTTCTCTGCTCCGGGGTGTGCGCCGTTGCTAGCAAAAAAAAGAATGGAAAAAGAACAAGAAACATAAGGCAAGAGGACAAAGGGGGTGTGTGGTTGGCACGGGGTCTTCCCTCAACGGGACAGGAAACACGCACGCGTATACTTGCAAAGGGCTGACCTGACGTGGATCGAACCGTCGTCGGTCGTTATTCCCAAGTTGCTGAGGGTGTTCGGGTCAAGGATGTACTTGTAATAGTCTCCTTGTACATGTAGGGTTGGTGGGCTGGTGGGGGCCAAGATGTTGCCAGTGGCATGTGCCTGACACTAATAAAGGTAGGGCAGAGCAAGGCAGACGACGCATACGATAAAGTTAAGACAAGGATTCAGAGGGTCAACCGTCCCTGTCCTCGAGCCACCATATGTCGGCACCTCTCCCATATTATTGACTAGGGTGCTAGAGGGAGGACCCCTCCAGTGGGGGAAGCATGTCCGAGGCCCCCAAAGTCAACATTGAAGCCTCGATGATGATGATCACAATCAATTAGCAGGAAACCCCATGGGGCCCAAAAGGGAAAAAAAAATCAACAGGAGAGGTCGGGCAGTTGGTGCTTAGTGAGGGCCTAATGAGCAGGAGGATCCCGGAGGAAGAAATGGCATGCGCAGGTTCAACTCCAGGGGTTGGAAGGGAGAAGCAAGGCCCACATCACGGATCCCACAAACCCGTTGGTGAAGGCCCAATCCAAGTCGCCGAGGTCCCGGTAGCACAGACTTTGAACAATCAACTTTCAGGACCAGGTCTATGGGTTCGGAAGTTTTCTCCCTACCGTCGTGGTGCATACACGTAGGCGGAAGAAAGAAGAAGAAAAAGGGGTCTCGCATGCTTTGCACTCTCCCCTTGTGGCTGAGGAAAACACAAAGCCTTCTTCTTCATATCCCAAACTGCTGATGCGCATGTCACCATGAAAAGATTGATTGGGGCGCTGGGGGTCTGGGGAGTGGGTCACTGACGGATACGCCTCGTTCCGTGTTTCTTCACCTGAAAAGATCAAGAGAATAATAAAATCCTCGCCGTTTGCGGTGGCTGGTTGCCTACTACCCCCAGGGGTATCGGGACTTTCTCTCTTGCTCCACGAGCTGCTTGGAGGTTTGAGAATTCACTGCCCAGCCATCGAAAGATTTGAAGGAGTTTTGGGACACGTACGTAGATCAGGAGCCCCTTGTTGTTTCGGCCGGTGCGTTCGGATTTTGTGTGAAGAGAGGGGCTGTGCTCTAAACATTCCTCTCCTCCGTGTGGCGGCGCGGAAACCGTTTTATTGTGGCTTTCCCTATCCCACCCACCTCCAGCCCTGGTGCGTGCCTGGTGAGGTGAGTATTAGGCAAGGAACCTCGGGGCACTCCTCCAAAGGTCCAAGGAATCGAGCCGCTTGACATGGGGTGGGTTTGGAGGACCAGCGGGGAGCAAGGGGGCTGGTGTGGGTTGTTCTCAGAAACGTCACACATGGATCCCTCCAGAAACACCCCAGTCAACAGGTGTTAGTAAAGCCTTCCCCTCGGGTCAAGACGGGCTCAGAGAGGTAAGGGAGGTGTGCAAAC